CAAGTCCTACAAGGAACTATTTACATCACGGTCGTCCTTCCGTCGCCTGTTCCTTTGTTGCTCATTGCAGGCATCCGTACAGATGACCGGTGTGTCGGCAATTCAGTGAGTACTTCCTATAAATTCATATGATGATAACCCTAAAAACTCACCACTCATCTGATAGATACTACTCTGTAACCATCTATGGTCAGATTGGCATCAGTGGCGAAAAAACGCTACAATACCAGGCTATCAACTCCATCATCGCCCTAGTAGCTCAGTTCTTCTGCATTCTCTTCATCGACCGAGTAGGTCGCCGCTGGTCTCTGATCTGGGGTAACCTAGGAAATATGGTAACATTCATTGTTGCCTGCATCCTGTTAGCGCAGTTCCCCCCAGAAAGCCACAACACCGGAGCCCACTGGGGCTTTATTATCATGACTTGGCTATACAACTTCTCATTCTCGTGCACTTGTGGCCCTCTGTCTTGGATCATCCCAGCCGAGGTATTCGACACCCGAACGCGGTCGAAGGGCGTTTCGTTGGCTACTATGACATCGTATGCATTCAACACAATGATTGGGCAGGTAACGCCCATTGCCATGGAGAGTGTGCGCTATCGATACTACTTCCTCTTCATCATCTGCAACTTCACTAACGCGGTGTTCTTCTGGCTGTTGCTTCCGGAGACGAAGAAATTGCCGCTCGAAGAGATGAACTATCTGTTCTCGAATTCTCCGTGGATTGTGGCGGGAAAGCGTAAGGAAGATTACGTTCCTCATGATTTACAGCGGAGGCTGGAGGAAGAGGCGGAGAAAAGAGAGGTTTTTGCCACTCACAATGAGGTGAGTTGAGCACTGGAAATTAAGTGGATATAAGGTCAGCCCATTATGTGTCTTCTGTCTTGATCAGAGGGTTGAGTAGGAGGAGTATGTTCTTACTGGCGCCAGATTATATTGATTGCATAGGTAGCAATTATGTAGCTCGCACTGGTTCGAGGTTAATTGACTACTAAGTGAGCATGGCGAAGTGCAATTATTGAAGTGAACAGACTCGTGTGGCTTTCCTGACCACCTGATGGGAAATGTAACATCAAGTACTGTAAGTATTGGTATTTTAAACTTGATACACATGAATCTCAAGCCTACAAATACTGTAATGACTGCCATTTCTGAATGCTAGCATGTAATATTACAAGATATGCGATATAGATAAGTCCTAAACGCTTTTAGTGATCCAAAGGCCCCATTGCTGATGTTTCAGTGCAAGCAAGCTAGTATCCCTCGAGCCCTGAGGGTCGAAGCATCATGTACATTTCAACGAGACCGCATCAGTAGTCCGCAGGCGCAGAGACTCAAGCGACGGAGAGCACGAATGTAAAGAGCAGGGACACCAAGTGCCTATTGTACAACACATCAAGATCATTCTGAATCTGAGCCGTAGTCGGCTAATCCAAGGGATAACGAAGGTGCCTTTGCTGCTGCGTTCGATGCAGTCTGCTTTGGGCTTGATTTTGAGTCCTGTACAGGCTTGCTTGCTCCAGGCAAAGCAGCTGCTTGCTTTGACTCTTCCGGCTTCTTTTGCGTTGGCTCCGGCTTGCTTTCATGGACACTCTTATCGACCTTTCCGGATTCTTTGTCCGCACTTTGTTCTTTCGAGGAGTTTCCAGTAGTGTCACCCCCCAGAGACTTGCGCTTTTTGCCGGGTATAAGAAGGTCTTTGCTCTTCTCTCGACGTCTTTTGCGGGCAGGTATCTTCCAGTCCTCTCCTTCAGCGGCCGGTGCGACATCCGCAGATGTATCCTCCAGCAGAGTTTTCTCTGCCTCTTCCCGCTGTCGACGGAACAACTCCAGCTGTTCGGCAGTCTCCTTCTTGACCGCAGCTTCCTTAGCCCGGGTGGACTCCATGATAGAATCGAGGAATTCGACTTCGTCTTCGTCCAGCGAACGGAATTGATTCTTCAACTTGATCTTCTCTTCGAAAGCTTCCTGCTTGGCCACTTTGCGCGACAAAACACATCACCCTACCATGTCAATCCAAGGCGTCTCCTAGCACACGCGCCTCATGGCATCTCCGCACAATGTAGAGACTCACTTTTGTTCTGCTGAAGTACTTCGTATAAGCTCTTGCCATCTTCCTGCCTCCCTAGCTCTGCTTTGCGCTTTCGCTCCTCCTCGAGCTCATTCTGTACACGATGCCATTCATCGTCGCGTTCGATTGGCTCCTGATCCGTTCCGGCGGATACGAATCCAGACGACATGGTGATCTCGTTCGCGGAGGTGTACACAAAGCTAGCAGGCGGTCGCCGAATGAGATGTCCAAGATTGAGATGGAGCGGACAAAGCTCAATGGCCGTGGATCTACAAGAGTCTCCGGCAATGGATTCAATGCGAGAATATTGTAAACGGCGGCGAGCAACGTCACGGGCGGCTTTGCTTTGCTAACTTCCGGCGGCCCTTCACTTGTGACCGTTGCCAACCGAGAGCCACAGGAGTGGACCGGCAGAAACAGGCGGTGAAGCAGATGTGGTGCATGGTTATTGGGCCTGAGGCAGACCCACGCCGAAGCGGCGGAGTTCTGCTGTTTTGGTCAATTTAGGCAAAATGCCTCGTTAGTCATCTGAGGGGCTGTGGTTCAGAAGAACCACGCTGGCTAAAAGAACTGTCCATATTATCCTCTGCATTGAACCTAGAAAGTCCTACTGTACAGAGTAACTGGGACGACTTTCATCCTGAGTGACCCAGATATTGCCTTCCGGCGTCTTCAGTACGTTCTCATAGAAAGTTATCGGCACAATGCGCCCTGGTAATCCGATGTTTCGATTTCCTGAACAGTAGCAGTTCCACGATATAATACAATTGGCAATCTGATGCTCTTGTATGCTTTTCTCCAATGATCTTAACCTGCTATCAACTTATTTACGCCTTTACCTACTACTCTTTTAGTGATAGACAGCACTCGGACAACCTCGTCTAAGCGCAACTGACCGGAGTCAAGGCTTCATCCCCGTTAGGGCTCGGTGGTAACTCCTTTGATAACGGCAAAACAGGAGCCCCAGGTTGCAGGTCGGAAATGACTGAATCCGTAGTTATCGTTGGCTGAGACCGAAATTCCCATGCAGGAGACCCGACCCTTAGGTCCGTCCGCTAAAAGAATGCGTGGGTGATCACTGGCCAGCGATGCTTCTGATGCTCCCCACTATCTCTAGGAGGGGCAGGTCGTGCCCCTCCATCGTCATCGTCCCGCTCATGGTGTGCTGGATGGACCTGCCTCCTCTCTCGTCCGGTCCGCCCTCGGAGCTTGCATCCACCTGGTTATAAAGCCCACCTTCACCCAGACTGATCAATTCTTCATTTTCTTGATCCCCATTTATCACCTTTCCTATTGCTCCTCCCATACCCCTCAGAATCACCAGTCAATCGCACAATATGTCGAACCTTGAGCACACCAAGTGAGCTACTCCCTCTCTTTAACTGACTTCAATTGAAATACATGAGGAGTCGTTGAACTTACTAACAATAATCCTTCACTTCTTAGGAAGGTCTACACCCTCAACACCGGCGACAAGATCCCCGCCGTTGGTCTTGGTACCTGGCAATCCAAGCCCAACGAGGTCAGAGAGGCCGTCAAGAATGCTCTCCTGAAGGGATACCGTCACATCGACACGTAAGTTGGGAGCAGCCACCACTTGCCGGACAATCTAGAAGAACTCATTCTGACAAATCCATCATTAGTGCCCTTGCCTATGGCAACGAAGCCGAGGTTGGACAGGGTATCAGGGACTCTGGTGTCCCTCGCGAGGAGATCTGGGTTACCACCAAGCTTGACAACACCTGGCACCACCGTGTCACCGAGGGCATTGACTCCTCCCTCAAGGACCTTGGCCTCGACTATGTCGACCTCTACCTTGTCCACTGGCCCAGCTGCACTGACCCCAACGACCTGAAGAAGCACCTCCCCGACTGGGACTTCATCAAGACTTGGTACAGTTTCTCTTCTTGAAAATAAATAGTTGGCGTTGCTAACACCATCCAGGCAAGAGATGCAGAAGCTTCCCGCCACCGGCAAGGTCCGTAACATTGGTGTCTCCAACTTCGGCATCAAGAACCTCGAGAAGCTCCTGAACGACCCCAGCTGCAAGATCGTCCCTGCTGTCAACCAGATCGAATTGCACCCCAACAACCCCTCCCCTAAGCTGGTTGCCTACAACACCTCCAAGGGCATCCACTCTACCGGCTACTCTTGCCTCGGCTCCACCAACTCTCCTCTCTACAAGGATGAGACCCTCCTCAAGCTGGCCGAGAAGAAGGGCAAGACTCCCCAGCAGGTTCTGCTCCTGTGGGGTGTGCAGAAGGGCTGGAGTGTCATCCCCAAGTCGGTCAGCAAGTCTCGCATCGACGCCAACTTCGAGCTTGATGGCTGGGAGTTGACCGCCGAGGAGATTGATCAGCTGGACAACCTCAAGGACCGCTTCAAGGTCTGCGGTGACGACTGGCTCCCCGTCAAGGTTTTCTTCGGTGACGACGAGTAAACTATTATCTACGAGACTATGATGATATCCATGTGAAATAGAGCTATAGAAAGCAAAATAAAATGTACATACGCTTGAACATACTTCTGATGTAAATTTGTGCGCAAACATAGAACGTGTTGTCTTGTAGCACCACTTGACCGCCGACAGCAGGATCCTCATTTCGAGGCAACTCTTCCTGTAGTGTCAAGGCGACCTTCCCCTGGAATGTGAAGGTAGTATTATGATCGACCAAGTCTTTGTTCACTTATATGTAATTAACTCCCGAAGCCTGCCACTGGCCCGAAATATGCTGTATCCACATATGTGAATGATCAGAAAACTATGCTAAATAGCATCCAGTAATTGTTAACATAGCATGAGGATACATACTGGGATGACCCAAAATTACGGGAGCACGTGGCGCCGGATCACATGCCGCACCGCCACCCCGGGCTCCTCCGTCATCAGGCCAGGTCCCTCCGTCATCCCCTTATCTCTCTTCCATCTACCATCATCCTAGGATGGTTATTCCATCTGAGAAACATCTATAAATCTCTCCATTTGATTGCAGTCAGGATGCCGCCTTCAAACGGGCACCTGCTGCTCCCCAAATTTTGGAGAGCAGCCAGGTGAGTCATTCGCCACTCTGATATACTTCATCCCGCTAACGGCCTCCAGGTCTGCCTACGAGAAGGCCTACAAGACTATCAAGTCTAGGTTCCCAGAGCAATTCCAACAAAGCTCACTTCGCCTTCAGCCTGAGTACGTGCGTGTAGTCAACAGACATCCCATAAACCGGGCTGCTGCTATCCGTCAAGCTCGTGGTCGCCACTACTACTCCACCCGTGCAGCAAGCTCCTTCGTCTCCTACATTCGCAGTGGCCTACAGGGCGAGCGTACTGCCTACAAGACATCTCGAGTCGCCGCTAATGTCAGTCGCTTGACTAAACATGCTCCCTTTGCATCAACCCTTCGTCCGAATCTGACCGGCGGCACCCTGGGCCGCACGGCGGGTGGCTATGCAATTGGTGCTGGCCGCATCGGTGGGGCACGATACTTCTCCCATGGCGCGGCTGCCCCTGCGCAGGTCATCAACAATGTTTCTGTCGGTGTTCGGGCGTTCTTCCTCTCGGGACAGAAGGCTCGCTTTGATGGAGTCGATCCCATTACTGGCAACAAGCGCTTCAAGGCCGTGAGCAAGCTTCAGGATGAGGCCGAGCGCAAGATGGCGGCGATCCCCCGTACGGCACCCGGCTCCTTTGTCGACTTCCAGATTTCCCCAACTATCACCGCTTTCGGTCTGCAGAAGAACCTGGTAGCGACTGGTGCTGGTGACGCCCAGACCATCAACTCGGACGGTCTCTTGGATTTCCTTTCCGCGGACTTTGCCCGTGCCCTCAAGGATCTTGCTGCCGTGCTTAACGACCTGAAGAGGCTATCCACACTGGGTGACCTGCCCATTTTGCTACATGATAACTCTACGATTCGAGTGCGGTTCCCTGGTTGCGATGCTAGTACTGTTGAACGTCTGTGTGATGAGGCTGGGGTTCAGAGAGGCAAGATAGTGCAGGATGAGGACTTCGACATCCGTACAGGTGCCGATCTCGCTCTCTTGTTTCCTTTTGCCCCTAGTGTACCAGCTTCTCCTGACGTGAACGACTACTTCTATCGCTCTGGGACCATAAAGTCACAGGCTCCGGAGGAGGTTGATTGGCATGCCATGATGTCTCCGGAAGATGTGTCAGAAGCATCTCCTGAACCCTACAAGCAGCCCTTAAATCAGCTCAGCTTCGAGGATGTTACTATGTTTGGTGAGAACCCATGGATGTCTTCTCCGTCAGGATATTCCAGCATCAATGTCAGCGAACTTGGCGATCGGGCCTTTTTTGCCGAAGTCGCAAGCATTGGTGTACCCGAAAGTGCCTCCGAGTACGATGGATCGGATGGAATACGCAAATTCATAGCAGAGTGTGATCATGCTTCGCGACATCATGGGCGGGCTTTTTAGCCGTGATACTTATGAACATACAGACTTTGACAGTCATTTATTTCCTATTGTTGTGATTTTATCTGATGCATATACCTTACTATTATAAACACGAGGTGACAGATGACGTTAACAAACGAAAAGACCAAAAACACATTGGCCCTTTACTTTTGCTTGAGGAGCTCTACATCTAGTCCGAACAATCATTCTATGTATTTAGGAGAAAGTTAGTTTAGCCAAACTTGATCTTTTCCCCAAAAACTACCCTGAGGACATGACCAACTTCCCTCCAGTAGGAATACCTCACCTTCCGAATGGAGTGTCGGACCGTTGGACCGGATGGCTTTATCTGTGATATTTTGTGATCGGAGTTTTCTAGTCACCACTACCTAGTAATATTCTGGTTTAATTCAATCTGATGCCAAATGCAACCGGATTTCAGGGACCTTTTGGAAGGAACGTCAGTGAATTCTTCCGTGCCTGCGACCACTAACGTTATGCAGGAGAGGAAAGGACCCTGAACTAATGCAGCTGAAACAGTCCTCAATATAAACCATTTATCCGTAGATTCGCCAGGGGAGCGGACATAGCCTTGTAGAGATGAAGATCGACCGGACCGAAGCCCTTTCGGCTACGGAGATTCCGTCTCGAGACACGGAACAGTTTTCCTCATCACGACAATGTCCCTGCAGGAACAATCAATCCATATATTCAGGCGTCTTGGCCTGTTACGGAAGAAGATGTTTAGCCGGATATACTTCACCACTCCTTGTTATTTTCAGTAATGGATAAACGCGTCTATAGAAATGGACCGATATAAATTGAACTGGTATATTCAGCACGATTCCATAGTAGTCAGGAATAAGAGCCAAAACTCACGAATTCACTTCGCTCAGTACCAGGCTATCTCATGCATATGCACTCCATCAACATGCGAGCCATCTGGCCCCTCGTCTCTCTCTTCTGTGCCGTCAAGGCCCTCCCCGCCGCAAGCGCGACTGCTTCAGCATCTGTTGCTGCTTCGAGCTCTCCGGCACCAACGGCCTCTGCTACCGGCAATCCCTTTGAGGGATACCAGCTCTATGTGAACCCCTACTATAAGTCACAAGTGGAGAGTTCGGCTATTCCATCATTGTCTGCCAGCTCGCTGGTCGCGCAGGCGAGTGCTGCAGCCGATGTGCCTTCATTTTATTGGCTGTGAATATCCCTTCATTGATATTCATGGGTTTAGGCTGATGACGCGATACTTGATGTTCAGAGACACGGCCGACAAGGTGCCTACCATGGGTGAATATCTGGATGACATCCAGACGCAAAACGCCGCTGGAGCGAGTCCTCCCATTGCTGGTATCTTCGTCGTCTATGACCTGCCGGATCGGGATTGCGCTGCCTTGGCTAGTAATGGCGAATACGCGATCAGTGATGGAGGCGTGGAGAAGTATAAGGCGTACATTGATTCCATTCGCGAGCAGGTCGAGACGTACTCGGATGTTCAAACTATTTTGGTTATTGGTATGCTTGCTTTGTCTGATGGATAGATGTTGGATTGGAACAGGATACTGACTGGTCCTCGCAGAACCGGATAGCTTGGCTAACCTGGTGACGAATCTCGATGTGGCTAAATGCGCCAATGCTCAATCTGCTTACCTGGAATGCACCAATTATGCCCTTGAGCAGTTGAATCTGCCGAACGTGGCTATGTATCTTGATGCTGGTACGTACTTGTTTATCGAGCATACTGAGCACAGCTAACAAAATGTCCACAGGCCATGCGGGATGGCTGGGATGGCCTGCCAACATCGGTCCCGCGGCACAACTCTACGCATCGGTGTATAAGAATGCATCGTCTCCAGCGGCTGTTCGTGGACTCGCCACCAATGTAGCCAACTTCAACGCCTGGAGCATCGACACTTGCCCCTCTTATACATCGGGTAACGATGTCTGTGATGAGAAGAGCTACATCAATGCCTTTGCACCGGAGCTCTCTAGTGCTGGATTTGATGCCCACTTCATTACCGATACGGGTGAGTTTTCCTTTTTTAAAATAGCAACATGCTCAGTCTGACTCACTGGGTTAGGTCGCAATGGAAAGCAGCCTACTGGACAGAGCGCGTGGGGTGACTGGTGCAATGTCAAGGATACCGGCTTCGGTGCTCAGCCAACCACCGATACTGGAGACGAGCTGGCTGATGCCTTTGTCTGGGTCAAGCCTGGCGGAGAGAGCGATGGGACATCGGATACTAGCTCTTCTCGCTACGATGCGCATTGCGGATATAGTGATGCTTTGCAGCCTGCTCCGGAGGCTGGTACTTGGTTCCAGGTTGGTGTCGATTGAATTGTTGCTGAATATACCATGCTAACATTATGTTCTAGGCATACTTTGAGCAGCTTTTGACCAATGCCAACCCTTCCCTCTGAGTCAATCGCTGAGTATATGGATATACTGCATGTTGGAAGTAGATCTTCACAGTTATATAAGGGACGTGATGATGTAGATCTTTGAAATGATGGAACAAGTGGGCAGGATCCCAATATATCGAGGATGCAAAAATCAAAGCAGCTTCCATAAGTCATTCATTAAGTGCACACATTATACTTGGTCCTCATCTAGTGAAGTACAGCATGAGTAGTCACCGACGCTGTAGTGAAAGCATGCAAGGCGGTGAACCGCCGCATGAAGAATCTCACCGCCAACCCCGCGCTAAACTGGAAGAAGGCGATCCACTGATAACAGTCCGGCTGGATGGAGAAGAAACACACACTGCATTCCCCCCCCCAAACGCCAAACCACCCTCATTATCGCTCGCGAACCCCGAATCAGCTTTTCTTCCGGAGACGTGACTGTTGGATGCTTTAAGAAGGATTGCTCTAACTGTACAGTTCTGGGGGCTCTCCTGCACTGGAGTTGTCCGACCGGCTCTCTCAGCAACTGCTACAGGCCAAGCACGAATACTAGTCTTTCTCAATCACATCCCTCTCGGTGGAGTCTTTTAGTGGGAAGGAACCATGGAGGACTTCAACAGCGAAACCGACAGTGATTATACTAGCTACTGGAGAGATTGGGTGAGTCTACCAATTACTTCGTGAGTTTCTGTGCGAAACGGGGACGACGGCGGCTTTGCAAGTGAAGGGAGATGTGTGGCTCCGCGCCTGCTCTCGACGATGTCGTTGCGGCTGGTGAGGGACCAGAAGTGAGAATAACACGGTCTCATGCTTGAAATCTTCTCTGCTGTGAAATCATTTTGCTCAGCTTCTTTATTGATTTCAAGCTGCGCGTTTGCTCTTACTCCCTCACCAGTAAGACAAGATGGCTCAGTTTACTAGTTCTACTAGTGAGGAGTCGTCACTTGCTACGCTACGACCACTTGTCGAAGCTCGTCCTCGTCCCCGACCTCAGATCCATATTCGCTCTTCGTCTAGCTATTCATATGGCGTGGTACTGCCTCAGAGATATGCTGACTTTGTACACCAGTTCATCTCATCTCGTGGAAACGAATACTTCTGCGAAATCGACGAAGATTACCTGACCGATCGCTTCAACCTTACCGGCCTGAACACTGAGGTCGCTTACTACCAGTATGCTTTGGACCTTGTGACGGACGTGTTCGACCTCGACGCGGACGACGACCTGCGCGAGCAGATTGAGAAGTCGGCGCGTCACCTCTACGGTCTGGTTCATGCCAGATACATTGTCACAACTCGCGGTCTTGCCAAGATGGTATGTCTTAACACTGCACGGCTGTGAAGGGTATGTGAAGGAGTTTCTGACGGACAATCTAGGTTGAGAAATACAAGCGCTGCGATTTCGGCAAATGCCCCCGTGTCATGTGTGACGGACACCCCCTTCTGCCCATGGGCCAGCACGACGTTGCCAACCAGAGCACTGTTCGCCTGTACTGCCCCAAGTGCGAGGATATCTACAACCCCAAGTCGTCTCGTCATGCTTCTATCGACGGCGCTTACTTCGGCACTTCGTTCCATAGCATGCTTTTCCAGGTTTATCCTGCTTTGCTTCCCGAGAAGAGCATTCGCCGCTATCAGCCCCGTTGCTTCGGCTTCAAGGTGCACGCCATGGCTGCCCTTGCGCGCTGGCAGGATGCTTACCGGGAGGAGACAAAGGCGTCCCTTCGTGAAGCCGGTGTGGAAGCCAAATACATCGAAGACGACAGTGAGGAGGAAGAGCTAGATGACGACGACGAGCCTATCTCGGAGATCAAAGAAGAGAGAGTCGCCGGCGATGCTGCCTCTGGCCGTATGGATCTTGGCAACTGATTGACGCTCCCTAGCTGGCATGATCTTTCTGCTTCATCGGAGTTTCCTCATTTTCCTCTCATATCCACTTGGCATGGGCGCAGCATTATGAACTTGCATTTCATCGCGCGTCTGGATCGTTTTCTCCGGTTTCACTTCCTTTTCTCTTTCTCCTTTAAACACATACGCGTCTTCCGACTAACGGCTTTCTGAAATCCCGGGCGTATGACGGGTCTTTACAATTGCATTATCTCATGTGCACTGCAATAATGATCACGAACACTGGTGGGCGTTGGAAGTTTCGAAGATGGCGGGTCTGTTTTCCTCTGCTTCTAATGTGTACTAGTTTATTCCTCGGGTTTGTCTCCCGTGACTTCAAGATCACTCAGACGTGGCGAGTTCGGCTCTTATGTAGAATACCTTAGTTTCAGTCAGGAACAGAGACAGAGGGGACATAATGAACTGCATGCTCGTCATTCGTCCATCCATTACTCTTTGTAATCCATCTAGCCTGCCTACTGACCCCTCACCTTCTCAATCGCAAACGCAATCGCCCTCGCCAAGTCCTCTCCCTTCTCCCACGCATCATTATGATCCCCCTCGATATCCAACATCTCCACCACCCTCCCCTCACTCCCCTTCCACCACCACCCACCCACTCCTCCTCCAAAGCCTTCCTCATCACCTCCCTCTGCCCCGGATCCACCAGACTATCACCCCCGGAATACGCCAACACCGCCACCAACCGATCCCCATCCCCAATCCCACTCCACCCACCACATACCCCCTCCTCTCCCCTCCCCAAAGCAGGCGACACCTCATCCCAAACCGCCTCATCAGCCCCAAACGCCCCCTCACTGAACTCCTGATACGCACTCACACTCCGATGCGTATCCCTCAACAACCGAAGATCATAAATCCCCGCCATCCCCACAATCCCCACCGGAGGAGGCAGCATTACCTCCCCCTTCAACAAGTCCCGAAACCTCCCCATCATGGACTGAAACGCCAGCGTAGCTCCACAACTATGTCCCACTAGGATGTAATTCCTCCCGATGTTGTATTTCCCTTGCAGGAAGGACAGCGCGGATTGGACATCGGAGATGTGATCTGGGTGCTTTGCGGCGCGGAGGTGTGTGGGCTCGGTGGTTTGGGGTCTTGTGGGTGTGATGGGTGCGAGCTGAGACGGTAGGAGATTGAGGCGATGCCTTTGAGGTGGGTGGTGTTGTTGGTGTATGAGGGATTGGTGGTGAGGGTGCTTAGGGCGGGGGTTAGGTAGTTTGTGGCGGTTTGGGTTGGGTCGCGCCAGGCGCCGCCGTGAATTAGACTGTGTGGTTGGGTTGTTTAGTTTGGAAGGTGAGGATGGTTTGGATTGGGGGGATTTACATCACCCAGTAGCCTTCATTGTTGTCGTTGTTGAGAGTGGCCACTGTGACGGTTTGGAGGCTGTGATCGGTGCCGTAGGGGAAGGTTTCGATGGAGGGAGAAGGTGGTGTGGGTTTGGAGGACGGGTGTGTTTGGCCCATTGTTGCGATTGTTTGCTGTATGATAGTATGATATGAAGTGCTATTGTCTGTGGATGAGGGATGCTTGCATGGTTATATTTAAGAGTGCTGGGCTGGTTAGTGAGGGGTTAGTGATAGCGTTGGGTTAGTTGGCTTGGGAATCTGCGGATGTAACTCCGTAGATAAGGTCATGGTTAATGTTCCACCCCGGGACCCGGGTACGGCATCATTAGGTGGAGTAATCTCAGCATATTTGCCTCAATTGGATGTCTATGACCATCATGATAGCATACTTAGTGAAATAGATATCCTCTGGCAGAAACGACGCTTTTTGAGTGTAAAGTTATGCAAGGGGGATTGAAAGCGCCCAAAAAGGCAAGCGGACCGGCGGCTCGTATGGGGCTTGGCACGCTAGCCGCATTGGGGGCTAGGCGGTGGGAAATGCTGAATTCCATCCACACAAACCTCGCCGCCGACTGCCATCTCATTGTCGCCGTCTGTATACGCAATTCCCAGGCACATATTCAACATGGCGGAGTAAGTGTTCTTGGTCTTTTCGTTCTGATCTGGGCATCTGTATACTAATGCTTGCAATAGGAAAGAAGTCCCTCTCACGGCCGTCAAGGTCGAGGCCTTGGTATGCACACCATGAAAAACTCCCCCATTCCCCCACCCGCCTTTTTCACGGCCGGCAGCAATGCTTACAGCGTGGCATACAGGTCGTGATGAAGATCATCAAGCACGGCTCTCAAGCCTTCCCGACGACTGCGACCGGTTCGATCGTTGGTATGGATGTCGACGGTACCCTGGAGATCACCAACTGCTTCCCTTTCCCCGTCGTTGAGGTGCCCGCCGAATCGCACTTTGACAACGCCGCTCCCAACCCGGCTGCTGCTGCCCCCCGCGCGAAGGCCAACGCTGCCTACGAGGCTGAGATGATCCGCATGATGCGCGAGGTCAACGTTGACGCCAACAACGTCGGTTGGTACACCAGCGCCAACATGGGCAACTTCGTCAACATGAACGTGATCGAGAACCAGTTCTTTTACCAGAAGGATATGAACGAGCGCACGGTCGCTCTGGTGCACGATGTCAGCCGCAGCGCACAGGGAAGCCTGAGCCTGCGCGCTTTCCGCCTGTCCCCTAAGTTCATGGCGGCTTTCAAGGAGAACAAGTTCACTTCTGAGGAGTACGTTCATACCCTTGATTCGGAGGGATGATAGACGTATGCTAATTAGTTTTTTTTTTTCTGGCAGGCTGCAAAAGTCCAACCTCAGGTACCAGGACATCCTGGTCGAGCTCCCCGTTGAAATCCACAACTCTCACCTGATCACCTCCTTCATCCACCAGCTCCAGACCCCCGTCCAGGCGACCCCCTCCGATCTCCCCCCGTCCCTGGCCGCCCTGGAGTCGTCTCAGTACGCCAAGTCGTCCGTGCTGGCGCCCAACTTCGACAACCTCTCTCTCAGCATCGACCCGTTCCTGGAGAAGAACTGCGACCTCCTGCTTGACAGCATCGAGGTGCACCACACCGAGACCAACAACTTCCAGTACTACCAGCGGTCGCTCGCCCGTGAGCAGGCCAAGATCACCGCGTGGCAGAACAAGCGCAAGACCGAGAACGCCAGCCGCGCGGCTCTCAAGCAGCCCCTTCTCCCCGAGGACGAGTGGCAGCGGCTGTTCAAGCTGCCCCAGGAGCCCAGCCGCCTGGACAGCATGCTCAACAGCCGCCAGGTGGAGCAGTACGCTCGCCAGGTCGACAGCTTCGTGTCCGCGACGACGGGTAAGATGTTCGCCGTCAAGGGCAACCTGCTTCCGGGTGAGACGGCCAAATAGATGGATGCGGAGGAACGGAAAGGAAAGGAAAATAGGAAAGGCGGGCGATGATGATTAGTTCTTGGAATTGCATGACCTTACGGCGTAGGGAGGGAAAACTTCTGTATCTGACGGGCTGTTAATATGACTCCTGTTTGCTTCTTCCATGAGAATTAGAACGGGCATGACTTGATACCATACCTCCTTACTTGACTGCTGCTACTGCTGCTGCTCTTTACCTCTTATTGTATTGATTATGATTAAAGAGTAAGCTGATCCAGCCCTAATTCCGCCTTAGGGCAAGGCCAGTTACTGGCACGTGGTGATGACCTCATCGATAACGAGATATTTAGATTACTAGATACTAGATAAGATCATGCCTTTACCTAGTATTTTCAATGAACATAGACTCAATTCCAGTTTCAAAATAGATGATATGCATGATGTACAATACCAACACCGATATCTGGCTGGTTAGTCCACCCAAACACCCAACAGCAACCCACCTATCTATCCAATACTAAAGAGGAGAAAACAACCAGTCCGGCGCCTTCGCCGTCCTAATCGTCGACTTCCTCGTCTACCCCATCGACACGCTCAAAACGCGCATCCAATCCCCAACCTACAACCGAATATACAAAGATGCTACGACAGGGGCAATCAACCGTAAACTCCTCTTCAGGGGTCTCTACCAAGGTGTAGGAAGCGTCATTCTCGCTACTTTACCTGCCTGTATGCCTGCACCCCCATCTCCCCCAAATCATCCACATTATACAAATTTGATAATAATGGAACTAATATTGTATGATGGTGAGAATAGCAGGAGCATTCTTCACCACCTACGAAAGCCTAAAACACACCCTCACCACCAACACCCACACACAATCCCCCATCCTCCTCCTCCTCCCAACACCAATAATCCACTCCTTCTCCTCCTGCGTGGCTGAATCCGTGTCTTGCTTTATTCTTACCCCGGCGGAGGTAATTAAGCAGAATGCGCAGGTATACACCAATACCAATACCAATACCAACCCACATTCAACTCCCAATGACATCAAGGGATCACCACCATCAAAAACAAATATAACCCTCCTCACGCTGCGCAAGTTCCGCCACAGGCCATTATCCCTCTGGAGTGGATATACCGCGCTGCTAGGACGGAATCTGCCCTTTACTGGGCTGAATTTTCCTATTTTTGAGTATCTTAGGGGGTGGGGGGCGGGGTATTTGCTTCGGTGTCGGACGGATGGAGATGGGAAAGTGGGAGGGGATGCGTTGGGACAGTTTGGGAATGTGCAGAGGGCTCTTATTACGGGGGTTTCGGCGGCTATTGCTGGGACGGTTTCGTCTGTTGTGACGACGCCGGTGGATGTGGTTAAGACGAGGATGATGCTGGGGGCTGGGAGTGCTACTAGCAGGAATATTGGTGGTGGTGGGGATGGGGCGTGGGAAGTGGGAAAGAAGGTGTATAGAGAGGAAGGGGTCAGGGGATTGTTCAAGGGAGGGGCGATACGGTCTGTGTGGACGGCTGTGTCGTTTGGAGTGTATCTTTGTGTGTATGAAGGTGGGAGAGGGTTTTTGGAGAATAGACGGAGGGAGAAGGAGATGGCATCGTCTTGAGTAGGTGAGATGTACAGCTACAATGTGAAGAGGGTATAAATCAACAGGTTCATTCACTCTGGTATATCATCATCAAGCAGAGTCCATTCTCAGTAAGCTAATCGTACATCATAGCCAAATTGTATATCCCTTCAATGGCAAATATCGCTTCATGTCATTCATCATTCCATTCGTAAAGAAAAGAAACATCCTCAGATCAATGCTCCAAACCACCAGCTCAACCCAAATTGGTCAGTCTCTTGAACCAATTCGGCATCCTGGGCCCATTGACTAGCGGTGCATAACGATCGTCGTACGACCTCATGCCCCGGGCCCGTTCATAATCTGCGCTGCCTGAACTACGCTCAGACCGTCTAGCCTCGCGCTTTCGCGCCCGCAACTCGTCGATTTCCTGATCCGTCATGCCAGGATATCTGGCTCGTCGTCGGGCCCGACGCCGCAGCTCACGTCGTGCCTCCTCGTCCGAGGAGACCGAGTTCGCCTGGGCCTGCTCACCTGGGCCAGGTGGCATGTCCAATACGGTGGCCACGACCGGTGGTGGTTCAGGCGGGTCGCTCGCTTGCGAATGCACCCAGGACGAAGTTTTATCCTTGCGTCCTCCGGACATCATCGGTGGTGCACGCTCCGGTTCTGGAGCCCTGGACTTGCGACGTTTGGGCCTCGCCCCCTCTTCTGTAGACCGTTCCGGACGGTAAGCCCTCTCGCCATCGTAGCCGCCGAGATAGAATTCTCGGGCTGCTCTGTCATCGACAGGTTGACGAGAGGATCGACGTTTGGACCGGGGCTCATACGCGGCGGCTTCTTGCATCTCTGCCTCCCTCCGCCGTCTGCGTTCGCGCCGTTCTGCTGCTCTGGCTTCGGCTTCGGCCTGCTCTTCTGCCTCGCGGGCCTCTGCTTCTTCTCGAGCACGGCGCTCTTCACGAGCTGCTCTACGAAGCCTTCGCTCTTCCTGGCGTCTTGCTTCCCTCTCTTCCTCTTCACGGAGCATTCTCTCCTGCATCTCTCGTTCACGAGCTCTCTCTCTTTCCTTCCGTCGAGCACGTCTTTCTTCGGCTTCGCGCCACTCGCTCTCACGGAGTTGGTCCGACGGCGCCTGCCGGGAGGATCGCTTTGCTCGACGGGCTGCCCGTCTAGCTTCAACTTCGTCCATGTCGGTTTCCGGAAACCCACCCACTGGACCGCCTTCAGTAACAAAGCCGTCAAGCTCAGCCTCTCTTTCGGCACGTCTCCTGCGAGCTTCGCGCCTTGCACGCCGTTCCTCTCGCTCTGGCTCTGTCATGTACCTAGCATCATCATCACGCTGAGACCTGGACTTTCGGCGCTCTGGAGGGTCCGGACGAGCATTCTTCCGCAAAGAGCCGATGAAGCCCATGAGACCAGTGGACTCTGGTTTCTTGGGAGCAGTACTTGATCGTCCCACGCGTTGCTCTCTTGGTGCTTCCACGAAAGCAATACCTTCTGGGCCCGAAAACACTTCAGCATCTTCATAATGCTCTTCTTGTCTGGACCGAGACTACGCACGAAGTTAGCATTGCGACAGAACTCTCCGGGTGACATCACTGAAATCTTGCTCACCTTTCTCCTTGAACGTCTATCGGAGTGCCTCGATCCCCTTGAGCCCTCCTTCGGGGCATCAATGTCGTCCCGGTCTACCATGACGATGTCCTCGTCTTCAACCGCATACGGGTCAGGAGCGCCTAGAAAACTGTTAGCAGCGCTACAGGCAGTTACATAAGAGAGTGCATACGAGATCTTCTACGAGATTCATGCCGTCTCTCTCTTTCTCTCCGGGAGGGGCCGTTCACGCCCATCATCCTGGCGGCTTTATCCGGCATATCCCGGCTATCGTCCGGTGGAGGACTGGGGAACCCGGCGTCTTCCATACCCACGGATGGACGTCTTGAGGTATTCCTGGACGCGTGTGTTCCGTGTCTTCGACTGGATTTTGTCCTACTAGGCGGCGGTGGCGTGCCCAGGACAAAATCAGCAAGAGTCATACCTCGGCTATTGCGCTTGTCCTTGTCAGAGGTCGACTTCTCTCCCTCGTTCTCAAGATCCCTAGATCTTGGTTGTCTGGTCGATCTCGACCTGACCATAGGCGGGGGTGACTGTTCTCGTTCTCGTTCACGTTCCCGTCTACGCCGATGTTCCCTAGTGCTGGGCTGCTTTTGGGGCGTGGCAGCCCAGAATCCCCAAGATGCTGAACCAGGAGTGCGCTCAACACGAACACGCTCCTTCCTGGAAGGCTTCTCTGGGTCAGGCTCGGCAGGCTCTGGTGGAGGCGTAGGAGGGCCGCCCGCGCCTACATCAACTTCTGCCGCTGCTTCGCCAATATCGGCATCGGCAGGGGCTGGTTCCACGACCGGGGGTGCTTTTTCTCGACTGGATACCTTTTTGCTCCTTTTCTTCAGCTTTTCAGGCTTGGGAGCAGGTGCTTCGTCGATCACCGGCTCTATATCCCGTGCTTGCTCGATCGGAGGCTCTGGAGCAGGATCAGGAACAAACTCGGGCTCAGGCTCAAGCTCAGGTACAGGTTCAGGTTCAGGAGCAGGCTCTGGTTTTTGCACTGGCTCAGGAACCGGTTCTGGCTCAACGACCTTCTTCTTTTTCTTCTTCTTTTCAGTTTTTGAGATGGGACTAGGTGCGGGGGCTGGCTCGGGTTCCGGCTCTGGTTCTGCAACAGGCTCAGGGACCGGCTCAGGCACGGGCTCAGGAGCCGGTGGTTCAAGTACAGGCTCAGGAACTGGTTCAGGTACGGGCTCAGGCACAGGCTCAAGTACAATAGCCTTCGCCTTCTTTTTCTCCTTCTTCTTTGATTTCTTTGACAAAGGCACCGGCTCGGGCTCGGGCTCGGGCTCAGGTTGTTGAGGCTCAGGTTCTGGCTCAAACTGAGGTTCCGGCTCTGGGGCAGGCGGTTCCGGGGCAGGTGGCGGGGGTATATCGTGAAAGTCCTCCTCGTCGTCGAATGCGTCTGGGAAACTGCCTGGAACCAAATCCCTCGAGGGCTTTTTAAACTGAACCGGTTCGGGGTCAAAGAACTCGACAGGCTCGGGTTGCGGGGGAGTAGGGAGTTCTTCTGGGGGTGGGGCAGGCTCTTTCTTGGCAACCTTGTCCTTTAATTTCCCCTTCTTTCCTTGCTCCAAAACTTTGATTCGCTCTGAGACGGACAATAGGGCCGATGACTTGGTCTTCGAGGTGACAACGGGCGTCTTCGCTGGCGGCGCGGCTGGCGCGGGTGGTTCGTCGACAACTGGCGGGATTGGCGCTTCGGGCGCCTCGAGCATCTTTGAGTCGTCAACGTCAATGAGTAAATCATCCTCTGCAGGATGACTTGGTACAGGTTCAGGCTCGGGCTCTGGTGCTGCCTCTATGGCTTTAGTCTTCTCTGATGACTTTTTCTTTGTAGTCTTGGATTTGCCCATAGTTGCAGCACCTATGGTGGCCCAGAAACCCATGCCACTCTTAGGTGTCTCTTCTTCCTTGTAACCCTTCTTATTGCTCTTCGAAGGCTTGCTGTCGTAGTCATCCCAGAGAGGCTGTTCGGGGACTTGGTCTGTAGGTACGTATCCCTCCGGCTCGGCAGTCCACCCCAGAGAGGGCGGTGTCGGTGCGGGCGGTGGAGGCTCAGCTGCGATCTTGCTCTTCTTCTTCTTCTTTTCCTTCGGAGCGTTCCATATTCCCCAGCTCTCCTCCTCATAAGTCTGTTCTGGGACCACTTCAGGGACAGGCTCGGGCGCAGGCTCTTGTTCAGGCTCCAGTTCTGGGGCTGGAGGTGGTGCCGGCTCTTCTTGAACAGGCTCAGGCACAGGCACAGGCTCAGGCTCAGGCTCTTTAGGTGGCTCAGCATTCGGATCAGGAAGGTCGAAATCTTTGCCCGGGATAGGAAGTCCGCTCTTAATCAATGATTTCTCACGTTTCTTCCTATCCTTGGATGACAGATTGTGCCAGTTATTATAGAGAGGACTGTCTGGTATCTCAGGAGCTCTGATCTCAGGCTCAGGCTCAGGTTCCGGGATTGGTTCAGGTTCAGGTTCAGCTGGTGGCTCAGGCTCAGGCTCAGGCTCAGGAGCTGGCTCTGGTTCCTGAAGTGGCTCTGGCTCTGGCTCTGGCTCCGGCGCTTTGGGGGGCTCAGCATTGGGGTCAGGAAGCTCAAAATCTTTACCAGGAATCGGAAGTCCACTCTTTATCAATGATTTTTCACGTTTCTTCCGATCTTTAGATGAGAGTGTGTGCCAGTTGTTATAGAGGGGACTGTCAGGTATCTCAGGGCCTTTGACTTCAGGCTCAGGCTCAGGCTCGGGTTCAGGTTCAGCTACCGGCTCGGGCTCGGGCTCGGGCTCAGGCTCAGGTTCAACTTCCGGGATTGGATCAGGTTCTTGAACTGGCTCTGGCTCTGGCTCCGGAACCTTGGGGGGCTCGGCATTCGGATCAGGAAGATCAAAGTCCTTGCCGGGGATGGGAAGTCCGGCTTTGACCAGTGATTTCTCACGTTTCTTCCGGTCTTTAGATGAGAGTGTATGCCAGTTATTATATAGAGGAGTATCTGGAATCTGAAAGGCAGGCTTTTCGGGCTCCGGTTCAACCTCGGGCTCTGGTTCAATAACCGGTTCAGGTTCAGGTTCAGGTTCAGGTTCAGGTTCAGGTTCAGCTATCGGTTCGGGTTCGGGCTCGGGCTCAGGCTCAGGAGCTGGCTCAGGTTCTGGCTCCGGCTCCTTGGGGGGCTCGGCATTTGGATCAGGAAGATCAAAATCCTTGCCGGGGATGGGAAGTCCGGCTTTGATCAGAGATTTTTCACGTTTCTTCCGGTCTTTGGACGAGAGTGTATGCCAGTTATTATAAAGAGGGGTATCTGGAATTTCAAAGGCGGGCTTTGCGGGCTCCGGTTCAACCTCAGGCTCTGGTTCAATGACCGGTTCAGCTATCGGCTCGGGCTCAGGCTCAGGAGCTGGCTCAGGTTCTGGCTCCTCTGGCTCCGGTTCCTTGAGGGGCTCAGCATTCGGATCAGGAAGATCGAAATCCTTGCCGGGGATGGGAAGTCCGGCTTTGATCAGTGATTTCTCACGTTTCTTCCGGTCTTTGGACGAGAGTGTATGCCAGTTATTATAAAGAGGGTTCTCCAGGAATTCCAAGTCTGGCTTCTCGGGCTCGGGCTCAGGTTCAGGCTCTGGCTCCACGGGATCGGTTTGTGGTTCTGGCTCCGGCTCTAGCTCAAAGACCATGCCCTTTTTCTTCTTATCCTTCTTTGGGATATCCCAGCCCGATGACCAATCATCATCCTTTATCTCGGCAGGCGCTGGCTCCTCAACGACTGGCTCGTCGAGGATGGTACCCTTCTTACCCTTCTTGTCTTTCTTTTTCGTTACAGGGCCCCAAGGAGAGCTCCAGTCATCTTCAGGCGGCGGATCGGCTGCGGCAGGAGGTTCAGGGGCGGGGGGCTCTTCAAGAAGAGGCTCGTCAGCCTTCTTCTTTTTCTTGTCTTTCTTGGTAGTTGCCCCCCAGCTCCAGTCATCATCAGCAAATTCTGGCTCCTTCTTCTCTTCCGAGGCAGGAGGGGGTCCGTTGGCAGCTGGAGTACTTCCAAGGTCCGCACCAAAGCTGAACCCAACGGAGGCGTTGGACATGCCGTTGGTGCCGGAGAAGGACCAGGGGTTACTATTATCTTTTGGCTTGTCGTCTTTCATGCCGTTCAGGGTGTTAAGACCCCATTTATCACCAGATCCCCAATCTTGACCCCAGCTCCCAAAGCTGAAGCCCGTCCCTGGCGCTGCTGGAGGCAGACCCAAGTCTAGTTGCGGCGCACTGTCGTTCAAGCTTATGTCTTGGAACCCGTTGGACGCCGGTTCGGGCGGGCTAGGGTCGGCGCCCTGTTGATAAGTTAGGATTTATCATCTGTATCGCAGCGACGATGCAGAACATACCTTGCCTTTCTTCTTCTTTTTCTTGCTGGTTGTTGTGGCAAAACCCCAGCTATCGTCACCGTTGGCATTAGTGTCATCTGCCCAGCTAAGGTCGGGGGGAGCGGCGGCAGCGGCGGCGGCTTCTTCTGCAGCCCGCTTCTCCTCCTCTTCCTTGGCCAGCCGTTCTTCCTCCTCTTTGGCCAATCTCTCCTGTTCTTCCCTGGCCTGCTGTTCCTCTTCTTCCCGTTTTCGTTGCTCTTCTTCCCGTTTTCGTTGCTCTTCTTCTTCCTTCAATTTTTCCTCTTCCTCCTGTTTCTTCTTCTTCTTGCTCTTCTTCGTGCTTGTCGTATTCCAGGCATCCCAGTCGTCATCCTCTCCATTATTACCGTCGCCGTTCCCATCTTGGCCATTATCATCTCCATTACCACCACCTCCAGAATCGCCGCCTCCATTTCCACTGGTATCACCGTTCTGCTCATCTTCGCCGCCCTCATCTTCCTTGTCGCCTCCACCTTCCTCGGCCGGCGGGGTGCTCTGTCGCTGGGGTTGCGCGGCCGCCTTCTTCTTTTTCTTCTTTCCTGCTCTTTCCCGAATGCCCGTTGCAGACCAAAAATCGAATGGTCGCGATGCACCCTTAGACTTTGACTCATCTGTAGTCTGTGGGGGCACGGGCGCAGAGTCCTGGATAAGACACTTCCGCTGGGCTAAGGGAGCAAGCGTGGCGTAATGTGGAGGTAGATCTTTGATCACATCGTCATATGTAGGCGGCGGTGCATCATAGCCTTCGGGCTCGAAGGCATGGATGTCAGCTTCCAGAGCCAGCGATGATTCGTAACCTAGTTTTCGCCGTAATATTGTATCCTGCTTACAGGTCTAGGCATTAGCAACGGGAACAGCAGTCTCATGGCTAGTAGTTTGTTTGCCATTGAGTTCACAGGTAACTTACCTTGTTTTGATGTTCCACCACTTGGAGGACTTTGCCGTAATGCTCACCACCACTCCGGGTGGTGTATCTTCGGGACCCGAGACACTTAGAACTTAAACCATTTATCTGCAGCCAGCCATATGACAAGTCGCATGTTTCCTTCTGACGTTCGGCAGGTCCCAGCGTGGAAGGGAAGTGTACCCTCAGCGGAGATACAAATTCATCACGAGGGATTGTCCGCATAATTTCCATCCTGGAAAAACGACCGACACTCGTCTGACGACCAGCGACTGCTCTATGCCAGGCGCATGGATATCAAAGGACTATCGGCCCCAATTGAGGCAGTTGGCGTTCGAGCGACGGAATCGACGTACAAGTAGGCGACAGCGCAGGAGAAATTAATGCAAAGACGACGGAGACTCAAAAGTGGGAAGGACCCGGGACTGATGGTAGTTACACCACGCGAAACGTCACGTCAGACGCCAGGCAGACCGAAACTTGCGATAAGGACTGGAGATTGGGCGAGACAGGAGTCGATCGACCTCAGAAGGAATGTCAGAGGAAGTGAGGAGATCTAGATTGACGAAAGAAGTTCAGCAGGGAGAGGCAGGGATACGAGGAGAGGCCATGGAATTCATGACCCTAGGGCGGTGGCAGACGTGGAAAAAGGAATGAAGCGCGATTCTGTGGAAGATCCTCCCAGGCGAGAATGGGATTGGATGGTCTGGTATGCGATAGACAGTGAGGAATGCGAACTAGTATACGTCGGGAAAATCAGCGGTCGCTCGAAGGTGAGTATGGAAGATGCAAGTAGTAGTTGAAGACGGGCTGCGGGAGTGCCACCAAAAGTAAATAAAAAAGTTCGAGGGAAAGAAAAAACATGAGTGAGACTGCAAACCTTTTTTTTTTTCTTCAATTCTGCTCAAGTTTACAAGCAGCTCTTTGATTTGATTGATCGGCGTATACGGAGTAAAAAGCGTGTGATTTGATTCTCCGAGGCCCAGTAGCGTAACCCGGTGGCTGGGGAAGTGGTAATGGGCCAACGGGGCAGCGGGATCGCTGGGAAGATGCCGGTATAGTCGCACGCCGCGGTAGGTGAGAGAGTCTGTGGATGTGGATGTGGATGTGGATGTGGATGTGGATGAAAGTTTTATTGGCGCATTTAATGCAGCGACCAACGGGGAACTGAGAAGTATCCAGTCGTAAGTTAACTGTGGTGTTATGTACACTGTGAGTGAGACTTGAGAAGAACGGCTCTAAAGCCGGCGAGCAATGGGAAGATGAAAGGGAGTCAGAGTCACGCAGGCACAAGCCAGTCACACACCCGGTTGGGTTGCGCGCAAGGACGGGGGCGGTGGGCAGATGCTCCTATCGATAACGAATGCCCCCCTCCTTCGCGGTGGGAAAGCGTTGGCGCGATCGACGAGTCGGACTATGAAGGTATGTACTTTAGTGGTGGTATGTACTGTGAAGTACATACACTCTGACTGACTTGCAGTGGTTGCGCATATGCCTCTGGACGGGTACATTGGTCTCTCTATATATGTATGTAACCATCATCGGGAATGACCTCTCTCCCCATCATGCAGAAAGGAGCCCCGTCATCATCAAAAGGGGGGAAGGAGAGCCCGACAAAGGGTATTCAGAGCATTACCAAAAAGGGCTTAAACAGTCCAGGTATTCGTTGTCATTCTCTTCCCGGCATCAAGTGGGGTAGTCGGAGAACATTATTATTACTGCTTTGATGGAAATGGAAAGTCTGCTAGGGAAAAAAAGAGGAGCTAAAAGATCACCGGTTCCTTGGTTCGACTTGCGGACATCTACTAACTCAGACGAGACTAGTAACTACCGCAGCTAAAGTAAACAAATCAATGGCTGGTCAATGAAAGTCGCATAGGGCATCACTGCAAAAGGGAAGAACAAGAAAAGAATCAACACTCATTCGAATATCACGCACGTCGGACATATCAGATGCTGTCTGTCCCTGCCTACTGTCAGTACTGTACGGAGAGAATTAATTCATTGATCCTCCATCTGAGCCTCGCAATCTCTTCGATCCACCACCGCACGTGCCTTCAGATCTATGCAACAACACCAGCATAATTTCCCAACATTGGTCCGAACTTGCATTCATCATCATGCGGAAATCCAGAAAAAAACCCCGTCCAGTCTCATTCTTAGGCAGCCAAAATGCCCTCTCCTCCCCTCTCGTTTTAAATTCGGCGAGAAACTCGGATGTCAGAAAAAAAAAAGGAAACGACCACCCCATTCTTGGGCGGATGCGGTGGCCTCTTTCTTCACCGCATCGAAGGCAAAGACCCCTCCACCAGCCTATGAGATCACGTTCTGCGCAATGGGGACCCAACCACTGGCCATTCGCAGCTCCCCTTCGTCGGGGCTCTTTGACACCGTCGCAGTTAATCCGGTCAGACTAGTCCTGATACACCACTATGTACATCCATCAGCTCCGCCTGAATATGTTTCCTCCCCCATTATCGTCCGAGTGTGCTGTACAGTTGTCCATACTTTATCCTGTTGGGAATCTCCGAACGTCCGCAATTGCTGCATCGCATGCATTTTCTAGACCCTGGCTGTTTCCCGTGCCCCGCCGCGGAAAAAGCATATGCAGTGATGCACGCCGATTCTACAGCCACTTAGTTGCTGCTATCTACAGGCTGTTACTGCTTGGGGGGTTGAGTGGAATGCATAGCATATGTTGATACTAATTCATCAGAGTAGACTCCCCTGTCTGCGGTCTCTGCATGTATCCAAAATGGGACATTTCTAGCTTGACGCGCTAGATCGCCCTTCTAAAAATGAAACACCCCCGGCAAGAACGGGCCAGCCCGCATACAATGCAGTTGAGGGAGAATCACAGAGCAGGGTAATACTACGGGGCCCTGGAGGGCAAGTCAGGTACGGCTTGTTGACAATGACTCATATGTCCGTCGGACCGCTGCATCATCCCAGGGCATGCGTACCCACCACATGAATACGATCTTTTATGCCCAACATTCGGAGATGTGCGTGCATCTATCTATCTGTCTATCGTATGTCGTTGAATAACCAGCATGCAGTAAGTTGTTCTTCTTACGACGACCTCTTAATTGACTCAGTAGACCCTTCACCGGTCATCGTCTTGAGGGACATGGCGTTGGTCTAGAATTCGAAGATCCCAGGCTGCGCTCGAGCTATATGCAGTTTGACCAAGCAGATACCCGTCCAAAACGACACATCCAGAGGATGAGAAATGTCTCAGCTCTTATGGGTGGGAGACGGTTGATCGTTGCTGTGGATAGATGGCTATGACTTCCGCGTAGGCACGTGGTTCGGATACGTCACTGTATCGCGACTGTGCGGCTTTTGTGAGCCCAGCCAGACTTCCCATTGTTCCTACGAGCACTTGATCAACAGGGAAGGATGTTTCCTTTCATAGGGTACAATTCCCTCAAGACGATGTTACAAATGGTGAATACAGGTGCACGAAAACATGGAAGGCAAGCAGCTAAGATCGAGTGGGCAAACGACACACCATTATCACTAGGACCCGCCCGCAGAATCTTGAAACACAATTGACCTTCCTGGTATTGAAACAATGGTCCCACCTCATTACCTGACAGTCATGCCACAATGCTCATTCAGGATGCTCATTTAGTCGCGTTCTTTCCCACATAGGGGGGATCCTCGCCATAGACGACCTTGTATTCCCGGGCGTACCGGTCGGCATCGACTTCTTGAAGTCGCACGTATTTCTATTCGCTGCATTAGCATTCCTTCTGACAACAACTCGGGAGAGGCGCATCGGGCATACCTGTTTCTCTGCAGCGGTCATGCCTCGCCATTCCTCCGCAATCCGCACACCACGCTCGGGGATGGGCATGTGCTTGAGGTCACCAGCCTGATGGCGTTCCTCGGCGTAGAACAGATACGCGATCTTGGAGCGCTTGACCAGGCGAGGGTCATGAAGAGGGAAGAACTTCTTGTTCTGGATCTGGGCGAGTCTTCGCCGGGCGTCGTTGGCTTGCTTGATCTCCAAGGGACTGTGCGAGTCGAGCCACTCCTTGTATTCCTTCTCGTAAGCTTCCTTGTTGGTAGCAGCAGTAGCGACAAATTGCTGTAAACAGACGTCAGTATCACGGAGCTTCTCACGTCTTTTTTAACCAACGAACCTCGCGCTCGGCTTCACTGATGTTCTTGGCACGGTCGGCGGCCTCCTTGAATGCCTCCTTGCCCTTCAATCCCTTTCCTTCCTTCTTGACCTCCTCAAGCTTGCTCAGCATAGTCAGAGTGAAGTGGTTGGTGAGCCTCTTGGGCGGCGTAAGAGAGGCGGCCTTCAGCTGCTTCACAAGCTGTCTCAAGTCACTCTTCTCCTTAGCTTCCTTCTTGGCGGCTTTTTGCTCATCGGTGAGCACCTTCTTTGCCCGGGGCTTCTTGGTAGTCTTGGTGGACTTCGTAGACTTGGTCGTCTTGGTGGAAGTCGATTTGGTGCTGGTGCGCTCCTTCGGGGAAGCCGCAGTCGCATAGCCGCTGGTCAGGTTTCCGGAGAGGGCAGCGGAAAGAGGTGCATATCTGACATTGGGGGTCGAGAAGCGACTCAGAGCGGCGAGGGACATGCGTCTAACATGGCTCTGAGAGATGGCCTGGCGAACGGGACGAGAGAAGGCCTCGCTAAGCTGGAGGTGTTGGAGAATACCCCCTCCGCACCGAGCTAGGTTCAAAGGCATGGCCCTGAACAATGGTAGTCGCGTATCGGAAATCCGGGGTAATATGTAGAGAGTAGGTTGCTAAATGACCAAACAACGATCTGTCGAAGGATTCGCCCTTGTGCAGGATGCCTGTCAGTGACGAAACCAGGGAGGTTGGGGTCGCGTAGCTCAGTCGTTTGGGAGATGCCGAATCGGGCAATGAAGCTCTCACGTGAGTATTACTGATATCGGTATCAGTCACGTGATAGATAAGTGGGCTCACTCGCCGCCTGAGGCGCGAAAGCCTCTCTAGTTTGGGAGAGAACAGACCGTCGGACACCATCACTTCGACCACACCTTGAGCTGTTCTCGCCACCGGGTTCCTATCGGCCGTGCCTGGTTTTCGCAGAAAATAACTAAACTGTTTCTCATAATTTGAATGGAAGGGTAAAACTCACTTTAGTATCCTGTCCACGTGCTCGAGCTTTTTCCTGAGTCTCAGTAATACTCACTCATCGTTGGCCTGCAACAATGGCTCGCCACGGGGATACTCGCTCACCATCACCTGTAGGCAGCACGTATTCCTCATCCAGACGGAATCGCAGAGACGATGATCGCTATGAGAGGAGCCGGCGAGACGATGGCAGGAGTTATCGCCGATCGCGCAGCCCTGAGGTACGCATAAGCTCATCTTCTCCATCTAATGACATTAGACGGCTCTAACAATCTCTTCTCTCCTGGCTACAGAGACGATACCGTGAACGCGAACGTGATCGCGACCGCGATGCTTACCGGAGACGTGACCGCTCGCTAGACAGACGCGACGAAGATTCATATCGACCCGGTCGGAGAGAACGCTCTCGCGATCGACGACGGTCCCGGGAGCGCGATGATTACCGTCGACGAAGCCGCGATAGGGATTATCGAAGCAGGCGAGAAGATTCCCGCGACAGGGCTCGAAGGCGGACAGATGATTCTGCTGACTTGAAGTACAAGTCTAGACGGGACGATAGCCGGGATCGGGCTAAAGATGCCCCAAGGTCTCGTGAGGTAAGCTCTAAACCAGTCCTCGTTGCTTTTTCCGTCGCATTGGATAAACGCATCTAACATGGGTTGTAGACTTCGAAGCCGTCAACACCAGCAGCCACCGCGGCCCCGACAGAGGACGAAAAGAGGGCGGAGAGACTTGCCAAGCTGGAGGCATGGAAGCAAAAACAAGCCGCTGAGAAGGAACGGAAACAGCGAGAGGCTGCTGCAGCTGGTGGAGCGAGAAGTATCTTAGAAGAGATTGATCGCAAGTCTGGTTTGTCACCGGCTGTCAGTTCTCCCCAATCTCCTGCAACACCAGGCGTTGATGCTACTCCCGGTACATATACTGGGAAGTTTGATCCAAAGGCGATTGCAAAGAGTGCTTCTTCTACACCCGCGCCCCCGGCGGTGCTGGGCAATGATGTTGCCGTTCCGCCATCTGTCAAGCCAGTTACTACTATTCCCGCTCAGGTTAAGCCCAAGCCCGCTACAAGCGGTGCTTCAGGTATGTTGTTCTCTCAGTTTCTATTGTCATAGAGATATGTACTAATTTCTTTCGCAGCTACCTTGAAGGCGAAAGGCAACGTTGGTCGGTTTGGCCTAGGAACCAAGCAAGCAGCAGATACCGAAAAGACCACGGCTACCAAGACTCTAGGATTCGGAGAGGAAGAGTCGACTCGGAGGAAGTTGGAAAGGCTACCTACGCCTCCATTAGAAGACGCGAAGGATGTCAATGGAACTGCAGATGGTGCCGCTGATGAGGATGAAGATGACGTCGACATGCAAGACGGCACCGAAGAAGAGGCTGCTGCTGCGGCACGAGCTGCGGCGGAGAGGCGAGAAGAACGCTTGCAGAGCGAAGCCATAAAAGCCCAGTCTAATGGTGCCGAATCGAGCGACACTGTGATGGGCGACGCTCCTGAAGCCGCCGACAACATGGAGGTCGATGCTCAGGAAGAGGAGGAGGTTGATCCTTTGGATGCGTTCATGTCAGAGCTTGCTGAGTCGGCACCTCCAAAGAAGAAGGTCGGCGCCAAGTTCTCGAAGACCAAAGAGCAGCAGCCTGAGGCTTTGTTCGGTGACGAGCATGATATTGATATGACTGCCGTCGGGGATGGGGATGCAGATGATTTCCTCGCTATTGCGAACAAGGCCAAGAAGAAGAAGGATATCCCAACCGTTGACCACAAGAAGGTTGAGTATGAATCCTTCCGGAAGAAGTTCTACACAGAGCCCTCTGATCTGGCACAGATGTCGGATGAAGAGGCGGCAAGTTTGCGTCTGGAACTCGACGGAATTAAAGTCCGTGGTGTTGATGTTCCCAAGCCAGTCCAGAAATGGTCTCAATGTGGGTTGGGAGTGCAGACCCTGGACGTAATCGACAAGTTGGGATACGAGAAGACTACCTCGATCCAGGCTCAGGCCATTCCTGCGATTATGTCTGGGCGTGATGTGATCGGTGTGGCTAAGACGGGATCTGGTAAAACAATCGCCTTCTTAATTCCCATGTTCCGACACATCAAGGATCAACGGCCGCTGGACAATATGGAAGGTCCCGTTGGTCTGATCATGACGCCTACTCGTGAATTGGCCACGCAGATCCACAAGGACTGCAAGCCATTCCTCAAAGCTTTGAACCTCCGAGCCGTTTGTGCTTATGGTGGAGCTCCCATCAAAGATCAAATTGCTGATCTGAAGCGTGGTGCTGAGATCATTGTCTGCACACCGGGTCGAATGATCGATCTATTGGCAGCAAACGCTGGTAGAGTCACTAATCTACGCCGGGTCACTTATGTGGTCCTTGATGAGGCAGACCGGATGTTCGATATGGGCTTCGAGCCACAGGTGATGAAAATCATGGCCAACATTCGCCCTGACCGGCAGACGGTGCTTTTCTCAGCTACTTTCCCTCGCAATATGGAAGCGCTGGCTCGCAAGACCCTGACAAAACCGATTGAGATTGTGGTTGGTGGCAAGAGTGTCGTCGCTCCCGAAATTACCCAGATAGTCGAAGTGCGCAACGATGACCAGAAGTTTGTGCGTTTGCTGGAACTCCTGGGTAATCTGTATTCGAGTGACGAGAATGAGGACGCACGTGCCCTCATTTTCGTTGATCGTCAGGAAGCTGCTGATGCTCTGCTTCGTGAACTCATGCGCAAAGGTTACCCATGCATGTCCATTCACGGAGGCAAAGATCAGATTGACCGTGACTCGACCATTGAGGATTTCAAAGCTGGTATCTTCCCTGTGTTGATTGCCACATCTGTTGCCGCCCGCGGTCTGGATGTCAAGCAACTGAAGCTCGTCGTGAACTACGATGCACCGAACCATCTTGAGGATTACGTTCACCGCGCAGGACGTACGGGACGTGCCGGTAATACCGGAACAGCGGTCACATTCCTCACGGAGGACCAAGAGCGCTACTCCGTCGACATCGCTAAGGCACTGAAACAAAGTGGACAAAAGGTGCCGGAGCCGGTGCAGAAACTGGTCGACGCGTTCCTGGAAAAGGTCAAGGCCGGCAAGGAGAAGGCCAGTGCCTCTGGATTTGGTGGAAAGGGTCTGGAGCGTCTGGACCAGGAGCGTGATGCTGCTCGTATGCGTGAACGACGCACGTACAAGACTGGTGAAGAAGGCGAGGATGAGGAAGAGAAAGAAGAGAAGAATGAGCAGGCTGAGGAGCGGTTCAACAAGGCCATCTCGTCTGTGCAATCCACGGCAGCTCCATCCCTGCCTGGTGTACCAAAGGGTATTGATCTTGATGGCAAGATTACCGTGCACAAGACCGAAAAGGATCCCAACAGCACGTCCAAGAACCCACTGGACAAGGTGGGCTCAGCCGTTGCGGATATCCACGCGCGCTTGAGCCGCGCAGGAGTGATGAGATCTGGAGTGCCCATCGACAATCGCGGGCCTGATGCAGGCGCCTTCCACGCCACCTTGGAAATCAACGACTTTCCTCGTAAGTCCACCGCCCATTTTGTTAAGTGTCAGATGCTAACCTCCCTACAGAGAAAGCTCGGTGGGCCGTCACCAACCGCACGAACGTGGCCAAGATTTTGGAGGCCACGGGTACATCCATCACTACAAAGGGCAGCTTCTATCCTACGGGCAAGGTGCCTGGGCCCGGCGAGAACCCCAAACTGTATATTCTTGTTGAAGGAGAGACGGAGCTGGCCGTGACGAACGCGATGCGCGAGTTGATGCGACTGCTGAAGGAGGGCACCATCGCCGCGGCGGACAGCGACGCGCGGGCACCCGTGGGAGGCCGCTACAACGTGGTTTAGTATATCGTTGTACCATAGAGACATATTATCGATAGGCATTCTACCTCCAGATGATGATCTAATGTGGATATGAAATAGAAGAAAACAGGATAAGATAAGCTAAGCTGCTCTGGTATCAACAATAAAACACAAGTCTTAACAAACCGAAAAAGGCAGTAATATATCTCGCTAAACCGCTCACTCACATCCATAAATATATCAACTCCACGCAACCAAAACCACAAACCCCCACCCTGGCACATACAGATACATAGTAGTAGTGAGACTACTGCCACCTCCTCGCCTCCGCCGCCCCATCGGCGTCCCTAGCAGCCACCTCATCCCGACTAGCCTCATTCAACGTCTGATTCTGCGTCTGCGCCTTCTGCGCCGCTAACTTGGTGCCTAGCTTTCCTTTACTCCCAGCTGCAGATGCGGACTCGGCTCGTTTCTGTTCCAATCGTAGTTGCAACATTAGCCTAGCCCTAGTAGATAAACCCCCCCTCACAAAAAATATCACTGTTAAAGGAAAGGAAGGAATACACACCTGCGCCGCCAACGCAGCTTTCGTTCTCGCATCCGCAGTCGCATCCCCATTACCTTCCCCAGCAGCAGGCGACCCTAACGTCCGTCCAGAGGGTCCAGACCCCCAGTTCGAGGCGGGTTTGGCGTTGGAGGGGAGCGGGGCACGCGGGGCGGAAGAGGAATCTTGTGCTGGCGGGTTCGGGGCTGAGCCGAGGACACGACCGGGGGAGGAGAAGGCGTCCGGTTGGTTGGAGGATTTGGAGCAGATGTTGCCCATTTTTTATTTGTGTGTGACTTTGGTATGCAGTGGTGGTTCGTGCGGGGAAGGTTTGGATGGATTGGGTTGGAGGGATGGATGGATGGGTGGGTGTATGAGTGGGTGATTGGTGGGACTGTATTGAGAATGATCGAGGTATTGGGTGTGGAGGATAGATAGATAGATAGATAGATAGATAGTAGTAGATGGTGCGTTAAAGGTTGTGGTAGAAGGTGGATAGTATGGGGAAGATAGTAATGATAGTGATAGTGACGCGGAGGAGGATCCGGTCCGAAGGCAGCGGGCGGGCACGTGGGTAGCGTTATCCGTTAGTCGGTAATGTTAATTGTAATTGGCACATGGGGAATGGGGAACGCGGCTGTGAGGGGGAGGGGTTCAAACTATTATCTACGAGAAGTTTCTGTAGTTTCTTGTTTGGAGATACTTTTGTTTCATTCAAGTGATATATGATGGTTTTCTGAGGATATATTGTTTCCTTTTGGATCTGCATCAATTTACTCCAAAGTCAAAAGTTCACCGATGAACAGACAAGGTTGTGGTGGTGAAACTTTGCTGCAGTAATGCCAGTCAGGTGATGTTGTTTACAGGTATTTTTCACATTCACTAATCATTGATAAGACATTTTAGGTAGAGATTGAATCCTTCCTAAAAGGTGTACCGATGTTACTCCCGTCTGGGTCAATCAAACAGTATCAACTTCAAACACACCAATATGCAGGAGGCATCATTGATTTTGCACTGGATGCTGTCCCACTTCAGCCCAAGGCGGCAACTGAGTATTGCCGGGCAGAATCTGGCCAGAATTTTTTCCGCCTGGCCGCAAGGTTCCCACTCTCTCTCCTCGAGGGATCTTCAGGGTTGAAAGCACAGTCCTTGAATATTCCTTATTAAATGGTAATTGCTGATAAAAAAAAGTACTTCTGAAGAAGACGGAAATCACTGATCAATATACAGAGAAAAATTCTGACATTGGGAGGAGTATCATTCGCTGCGGCGACCACAAACTAATGACGCCATCTCCCAAGGTCCTCGTCCCCAAGGTCCCCAAATTACCGATTAAGATCTGCCCCGTATCGCGACGGTAACCTTACCGAAAAAGAGCCCTACTGCGCTGTATCCTCTCCTCCTCCATCACCACCAACTCCACTCTCGCGCTCTCTCTACCAACTCCTACTCGCTCCCTGGTCCATACTACCTCTGAACTATCCTGTTCGCCCACCATCGCCTGGAACCCGCCTCTCATGCTGGCCCCCAAGGTCCTCATCCCATCGCTTTCAGGCGGTCTGTCTTTTCTCTCTCCGACGTCTCTATCGGCTGTTCTTCATTCTTGGTGATTTCTGCGCATTGTCCAGTCGCACCACTGGCCTTCTAGCCTCCCGTTGGACGATCTTTGCATTGCCTACCTTGACTGCAGTCTGTTTGATTGGTAAGAGTATTCCTTGTTTCCGCTCGCGTGGTGTGGAGGGCATGCTAACTTGCCACTTGCGTGCTCTGCGTCAGACAAAGACAGGCACATCCCAGGTCATCCTACTCATTTTCCCCCCGCCTCAGAGCTTCTCTGGCGGTTTGTCCCGTTCACCATTCCCCTCTTCAGTGTGATAATTGTTCAGCCTCGAGGTTGACTGGGGACTTTTTCTGCCTATCATCTAAGCCTGTCGATCGTTATCGACACCATGGCTTCTCACACGAAGAAAGACGATTTCTGCCTCGAATGCCACTGGGAGGCGTTCCACCTCGATGGAAAGGAGGTAGAAGATGTCTCGGAGGCACAGCCAGTGCAATGGAATTGCTCCGATCAGGTACATCACACCCCGGTGCCGCCTTGCAACGGGGATGACGACTGCAACGTCGAGGAGGACTGTTGTGATGTCGACGACTGTTCTATCACCTGCCCCTCCGTCTGCGACGGCTTCATTGAATGTGGCGATGCTGCAGTGTGCTCTGTGTCGCATTGCGACGAAGATCATTGCGAGAACACCGACCCGGTCTGCTTTGATGAACACTGCTTCGGTACGGGCACCAACATAGATGGCGAACACAGTTTGGAGTCGCTATTAGGGTTGGGAACACCTCTCAACCTCGACACAACTGACCTCGTATCCCCGACTTCCATGCCACAGTCGCAGGTAGAGCAGCCCAAAACCATGACGCAGCCCACGGGCATGGTACCCTCTGCACCGGGTGATGCCTTCTTCAACCCTTACGCACCTGCGTCTCACTGTCACTCCCACAGTCATCAACATTTCCACTGCCATGATATATCCAAGGATGCTCACCACGCAGCAAATCCGTGGTTACCTCTGCAGAACGCAGTCAACCCGGCGGATGTATTCCACATGATGTGCCCTGACCTGTCTGCGTGCCATCAATTCCACGTCCACGAAGTGCAGAACTGCCCTGAGCAGGACAAACCTGCCGATGACGCGGCCTCGAACTCGTTTACCTGCTTCCACATCCCTCATCATCCTCACCACCACCATCCTCCGAACGAAGTGAAGAGCCCAGCTCCGGCGCAGAAGCCAACCAATAATTGGAAGCCATGCCGCACGCATGTTCATCGGTGTCGCACGCACGGACACCATGTACATTCCTATTCACCTTACTCGCGCCACTCACGGTCCAGTGTGAGTTCCCAGTTGAGCCCGGGAGAGACGCCGCCCCCGCTGGAAGGGGGAACCTCATCCGTCTTGACCAGTCCGGAATACACTCCCGATACCGAGATATACATCTGCCGGTGGACCTCGAAAGCCGACGGGACCAAGCTGCCCTGCGGCGCCACCTTTGCTGATGCATGCGGTCTGCAGGAGCATCTGGTGGCGTGCCACATGGCGACCGTAGATGGCGCCAAGGGCACGGGATATTACTGTTGCTGGGAGGGGTGTCACCGGCCGGATGAGCCGTTTTCGCAAAAGTCGAAGCTGCAGGGGCATTTCCTGACTCATAGTAATTGTAGGTGCATGCGATGCCAAGGGTTCAGGACTAGAGCTGACGAGGCAGATAAAAACTTCAAATGCTCTGTCTGCGGAAAGATGTTTGCACGACAGGCAACATTGGAGCGGCACGAGCGGAGCCACCGAGGCGAGAAGCCGTACAAGTGTACCGAGTGTGGAAAGTCGTTTACCGACAGCAGCGAGCTGAGTATGTGCATGCTATCTCCCGAGATGAATAGACACTGACGGGATAGAAACGCATTCGCGGACGCACACGGGCGAGAAGCCATTCAAATGCACGTACCCGGGGTGTAACTTTCAGACTGGTGATGTAAGTACAGCCAATCGGAAAGAGAAGACATCAAGCTAACAGGTTCAGTCGTCCAATATGTCCAGCCATCGATTGAGTATGTACACCGTAGACAGATTCATGCAGTCGATACTAACGGGACTAGCACACGGCGAGCGTCGACACAAGTGCCACCACGCCGGATGCACCAAGAGCTTCACGCGACACGGTAAGCCCAAACCCCCATGTAGTCCAAGAGACATACTAACAAAACAGACCAACTCAAACGACACTTAAGAACTACGCACAAAGAAGATATCTCACTGGGTACTCCGATGCCGAATGACTTCGGACTTGCCTTTGCCGAAGTGGCGTGAGAGCAGCACAGACGGGCACCAGGCGCAGATCAACGGGGAGGGAGTATACATATATACATACGTGATTTCTGATACCGGATTGATTGGATTGGATATAAAACGGAGTACGACGGCGAAACAGGACAACTGAATGAGCGAGCGATTGATGACTGGTTAAAAGATCATTATGAGTGGACGACACCTATACCTACTATTACTACTACTATTACAACCTACTACATAGTATATATCCAACACGAGTTGAACAGCCCCTACCTACTAAATAGTAATGACACACCACCACAACCTCCATTCAATCCCATATCCCAACCCTAAATATTACCACCATTATCATACACACATCCCATCCCCAATACACAACCATGAACACGATATTACAAATCACTCAGCAGAAGCCCTCTCCTCCAAACTCTCCACAGCCCCCACAATCTCCCTAACCCTCGTCCCCACCCTCCTCCTCACCTCCTCACGCACTTCATCCCCCACAGCACCCGGATCCAACCCCGTATCCACATCCACCTGTCCCTGCGGCGAATGGCTCACAAACGACATATCCCTCGTGTACACCGTATACACGGCAATGAGCTCATTCAGAGCATCGCGCGCCGATTCCCGGTCCGACGCCGCGTAGATGGTCGCTGAGTCGGTGCTTTCTGTGGCGATTTCGAATTCGTCTTTTGCGACTTCGTATCTTAATCCCGAGTCAGCCAGTATGTTAGTAGGTGTGCTTGTTTATTTGGGAGGGTGGGGGGAAAGGGTATACGGACAGTTCTTGAAGTTCGTCGATGATTTGATCGGCAGGGGGTTTTGAGGATGATGTTGAGTATGAGGAGTTGTTGTTTTTGGAGCTGGGGGTGAAGGTGAAAGTGTAGGTTCGTGGGATTGTTGGTGTTGGTGTTGGTGTGGTGGTGAGTCCGGGTGCGGAGGTGAGTCGGGGTCGGGCGGAGGTGGTTAGGGTGCGGAGTGGACGTGGGCGAGGAATTGAGGGCTTGTATAAAGAACGGGAGAGGTGTAGTCCGCGGAGAGGGATCCGGAGAGACATTTTGGATATGAATCGGAGATGAGGATGGTGGTTAATTGATAGATAGGATAGATGGAGGTGATGGTTGCAATGATGGGATGACGTCGGTTGGGGATGGACCGTGCTGACTAACCGGGGTATGCCCTTACTTGAACTAGTTTAACTAGTAGAAGAGTTGCGTGATACATGTCTTGGTTAGATTATTGTTATCTTCTACACTGATTCTCGTGAATTGTGATTATAATACTTTTTAGTTTGCCCGTTCAATGTGTTTTCTTCTACCGGGAATTCTGGTAACTGTTGATTCAATGGTATGGCTGATGCTACTAGTATATCCCGGTGATTGTGATAAAGAGACATTCGCTGGCAAGGAGACAGTCATAGCAGAGACAAGTACCAGGGTAAGTAACAACACCCATATATGTCCATGATAGCCCTAGATGAAGGATTCTGCAAGAGCTGAGTTGCAGTCAGGCGTTCCTCAGGGATAACATTTCACTTGCACACAAGACATATCTAGACAAGCAACTGTTGAGTGATAAAGTATGAGTCTAAGCTATATCATTGTGAAAGGATTAGTTGGTGGTAATAATGTAACTTGATAGAACATGGTTCGGTGAATATCCCTTGTGTTCTTAGACGAGCAAGTAAAAAGGAGCTAGATTCATATGAACAAAAGTTTTATTACACAATTTCACCCCATAAACATCCTCTGCATCGACCAAGATTACCTGCTCAAGCCCTGTACGCTTCAGCCAAGCAGTCTGTCACGTAAGACAATTACTCTCCCAGGGAAATTCCGTCCAAAATTTTGCTGATATCTACAGAAAATGAACCAAGAGCAATTCGCCATTTGATCTATAAGGACCAATAGATAAAGGATTTGGGGTAAAAGGAGCAGCCCCTTCTAGTCGCCTACATTCACCGTTGTTACTACTATCACAGCCTTATGATTCAGCTATACTGCTGAAAGCAACCCCTGGTCTCCTCTACATATCAATTCATGCATTCATTCACAGATGCATTCATAAATGGTTTCACAAATTTACATGATTGATAGGGAGTCTTGTCCTCGACTATAACAAACCTTATATAAAGTCAGCTACCTCCCAAACAACCCTTTTACACTATGAGGAGAAGAGTCAAAAAATAATGGGATACTTGGTGATATCATAGGGTACAATCATATATAGCATACATGTGAGATATTATACAGATTGAACCTCGATATTTTCCCCCAAGGCTAACTTATATGGAGAACTCTATACAGGTCGAACATATACTTGTCTTTGCTTATTTTATACCGCACTTTTCACTACGGCAACCCAAGATGTAGATGAAGGCTTTATATTCGACTTCTGGCCTGTCGTAAGGAGCTTTTTTCAAGCTCCCTTGTAAGCTCTTAGATGGCAGTGTCAAAGTCAGACGCTAATGTCATATTGTTGTTCTCAACAAAACTTTCGACAACAGTCTTCCCGCGGATGCCTACTACGGAGAAATAAAACGCATCAGGATTCGATGGAAGCCCAATGCAATCTCAAGATTGCCCAAGGATGATGAGAGCTTGCAGGCAGACCCAGTTGCGCTTAAGGCCGCAACAGAGCATGTGACATATATGTGTATGAAGAGGCTAGTAATACCTCTGCTCTGGTTAGAATACTCTTGCATTTCCTTCAACTCGCCGATGAAGAATGGATTGATTGACAATTTGGTCCGGAAACAAGACATCTCTTCGACTGTCAGAGATTGGAACAAGCCTGTGGCGAGAAACCATTTAACAGGCAAAGGTCAGGTTCTCACCTGCGGACAATTGCCATGAGTGTTACCACTGCTGCATGCTGGAACATATCTTTCCGTCTGCTTTCAGATAGACGCGATATTAAACCGTTATTGGTCCACCAATTAGCGCGATGACACTATATATGGAGCCTTTGCTGAATACCCCTCAGTGTTCAGGTGTTGTATAGCAATGCAGCGAGAACATCAGAGCCTAGACCTGACCATTCTCTTGATAGATCCATTCATTGTCATAACATTATGGCTATGAGGTCTGTTTATAGTCCTTTCTATTCCCGAGATACACTTAGCCAAGGATGTCGATCTGCGGAATCAGCCACTATTGCAAGGCCAAGAGATCGACTCAACTCATCCTCACCATGTTAGGGTCGCTTCTAACCTAGAACTTCCCTTTAGCCTAAAACCGCCACGGCCCGCCTCCAAGCATCGTCGGAACAGTCACCTATAAAACCCTCAAGCATGCTAGCATCTTTTCCTTAGAATGTATTAACCACATCTCACCATGTGGCTCTCATCCCTCCTCGCAACTACCCTACTATCAATCACTGCATCCTCCTCTCCTACATCGAACCACACCTACACTAACCCCATCCTCCCCGGCTGGCACTCCGACCCAACATGCGCGCACGTCCCGGAACACGACACTACCTTCTGCGCCACCTCCACCTTCATCGCCTACCCCGGCCTCCCCATCTATGCCAGTAAAGACCTGCAGAACTGGAAACTCGCCAGCAACGCCTTTAACCGGCCCTCTCAGATCCCCGATCTCCGAAACACCACAGACCAACAAGGCGGCATCTACGCCCCAACCCTGCGCTACCACAATGGTACCTTCTACCTGATCGTCACCTACCTCGGCACAGACATTAAAGGCCTCCTCTTCACCACCACCAACCCCTACAACAACTCCGCTTGGACCGACCCCCTCGTCTTCACCGTCACAGGCATCGACCCGGACATCTTCTGGGACGACGACGGTACCGTCTACGTGACATGTGCGAACAGTGGCTCCTCCAGCGGAAACCACATCCAGCAATACTCCCTCGATCTAACCACCGGAGCCACCGGCCCCATCCACAACCTCTGGAACGGCACCGGAGGCTCCAGCCCCGAGGGACCGCACATATTCCGCAAAGACGGGTATTACTACCTTATGATCGCCGAGGGAGGGACAGAACTTGGCCACTCGGAGACGATTGCTCGGTCAAGGTACCGGACCGGGCCGTGGGAAGCTTATCCCCGGAATCCGCTGTTGACAAATCGCAATACGACCCAGTATTTTCAGACGGTCGGACATGCGAATCTCTTTCAGGATAGTGTGGGAGATTGGTGGGCTGTGGCACTGAGTACACGGTCTGGGCCGGCGTGGAAGAATTATCCCATGGGGAGAGAAACGGTTCTTGCGCCGGCGAGATGGGAGGAGGGCGAGTGGCCACTTGTGCAGCCTGTTCGGGGGGTGATGAGTGGGCCTTTGATGTCGGAGGATAGGGGGATTGCAGTGGGTGAGGGGGGTTGGGTTGATCAGCCTGATAGAGTGGATTTCGCTCCGGGGTCAGCGATTCCAGCGCATTTTGTGTATTGGAGGTATCCGAGGACGGAGAATTTTGTGGTTTCACCGGAGGGGTATCCTAATACTTTGAGGCTGACTCCGTCGTTTTATAATCTGACAGGGACGCCGGAGTTCAAGCCGGATGATGGGTTGACGCTGGTTATGCGTCGGCAGACGGATACGTTGTTCACGTATGGAGTGGATATATCGTTTCATCCTGAGATGGATGGCGAGGAAGCTGGCGTTACGGTGTTTTTGACTCAGGAACAGCACATTGATTTGGGTATTGTGTTGCTACAGAATAATCTGTCATTCAGGTTCCGTGTTGAAGGCCGGGGTAACTACGATGGCCCTCTTCCTGGACAGACTATTTCTGTGCCAAAGGAATGGCAAGCAGACACTATAAGGCTTGAGATCCAGGCTGTCAACGACACGACCTATGCCTTTTCCGCTGCGCCATCAAGGAACCTGGGCCATAAGAAAGTCATTGGGTGGGCAGATACGAGGATTGTCAGTGGTGGCACTGGTCGGTTTACTGGTAAGCTGGTCCTTTACATGATCGATTTTCCTTTCTTGCAGTGTTGACAGTTTGCAGGCGCGCTTGTTGGTGCTTATGCTACGAAGAATGGAGGCGCTAGAAGTACACCGGCTTATATTAGTAGATGGAGATATCAAGGACAAGGCCAGGAAATCGACTATGGCCATATAATCCCGAGCTGGACTACGTCTATAATTGCATAGTTGAAAAATTGATATACTTTGCACTGAATGAGGAACATTGGGGACAAATTGCCTAGTTTGAGTGCTTGCCATCTCTAAATAATTGACAATGCTTGTTCGGCGGACTTATCTGGCATAACTGCTTGCTGGTTAGCTCCTTTCTAATGTACTCCGAACTATCAGCAGCCTTCTGAGCTATCAGACACTTCACCTGCTACCCATTCTTCTGAAAAAACTCGAGGTGCTCAAGAGTATCATGTCGATTACTACTGTAAATGGTAGTTCCATGGCATTGGGGGTTATGCATACCTGTCCCAACACCCCGGCATGTCCACCCCCAGCCTGCATCCTTCGCCCTATAAGTGATCTACCCCAACATCTGCACCCTCTTGAAAAGCTTTGCGAATCGACTGGAGCTTGACAGTTTTGTCCTACATTGGCGAGGACATCGTACAGCATAGGTCTTCAAACTTCCACTGGGTTATTCCTTGTTTTCGATACTCTGTTTCACCGGAAGGCTGTCAACATGTCACAGCTGACAATAACTTCATCATCCCTAGCAAGGTCAGCTATGATCAGCGGTCACTTGACACCCATTAATACTACGAGAGATCCAGCGATAAGGCGCTCTGGACTGATGGAGATCATCGAAAGATATATGTGAAGGGGTAGTATTGATTGACAATGACAAGGTGGAGATCTATAATGTCCTTCGTCACTCGCTCTAGATAGTTACTGAACACCAGTTTAATCTATTTTGCTGAGACTACCACCGATATCTTCTTGATCATTACCTTTCCAATTTTCTTTTACCTTTCATAAAAGTCCTACATCCTGAACACATAGTCCCTCTTAGATAATTTAATACAAATAGACTATACAACTCTCAACTCAGCAGAACAGTATCTATAGACAGCCTAGCCAGGCATAACACAATATACATGATATACAATCTTATACACACCGAACCATAACCAAAGTCCCTGCCAACACCCAACATGATCCCAATGAAAATTTTTATAAATGAACAAAAATAAGAAGAAGAAGAAGAAGAAGAAGAAGAAGAAGAAGAAGAAGAAGAAGAAGAAGAAGAAGAAGAAGAAGAAGAAGAAGAAGAAGAAGAAGAAGAAGAAGAAGAAGAAGAAGAAGAAGAAGAAGAAGAAGAAGAAGAAGAAGAAGAAGAAGTAGGAAGTCGAAGACTCATCACGAAGCCCGACCACGCCGAACCCCCTCCCTCTCCACCGCAACCTTAACTAACGAAATCAACCAGCTCAAAAACCTATCGGCAATATACGCCGGCGGAAAGAGCCTCCCCTCCCCGTCCAAATCAAACGCTTCACAAACAAATAACCCCCTCATATCCTCCAACACCCTCAAATCCCTCGTGAAAGACGCATTCCGAGGATCGGGGTTCTCAATCAGACACCAGAAGACGGTGAGAATGGCGGAGAGGATGAATTGTGCGTGGATCCTATATTATCCTTCGTATTAGTATACTATGTACGCATAGCTGGAAATAACGATAATGGTTTGGAAACTGGATGAACTCACCAAAAACTAAACCGATCCACCAGGACCCCCTTCCCTGAATTCAGGTAATAAAGTAATGTCGACCTCGACGCCTGATAATACAGCTCCAGGCTCGAAGCAAGCGGGGCAGAGACGACAGATAAGCTAGTTGTGATACTCGCTTCGTGCAGTTTGCGAATACAGTAGTGGTATTCGAGATGGATGTTGATAGGGCGGATATTGACCAGTTTCTGATTACTACTTTCCTCGTTGGAGGAGGAGGAGGAGGAAGGTATTGTTGGATCTCGATTGTTGGATGTGCTTGTTTCGGATCTAGGTGTGTTTACAGGTGTATGTCCTAAGGGAAATTCGGCGTGTAGTTCACTCAGATCCTGATCGAGTTGGCGGATGTGAGCGAGACGGCGGGCTTCAGGGAGGGATTGGGCGTGACTGGAGTAGAGGCGATTGTAAATGTGGGATTTGAAGATGGCGAGGCGGATGTCTGTTGGGTAGAGGAGGTGGATTTCGGTGCTATTATATGATGATGATGATGGAGATTGTCGGGGTGGTGGGGGAGAGTGGGTGGTAGAGCCGATGTAGGTTTGGGGGAAGTCGAGGTCGACGTCGATGTCGTGGATGAGAGGTGGAGAGCAGCTGCGGATGCACATTTCTTTGTCCATGCTGTAGCAGAGCCAGAAGATGGCGCGGAGGTGGGATTGGGATTTATTGTTGTTGGTGGTTGTGGAGGAGGCCCGTGGTTGGTATTCTGGGGGAGGGGTGATGCGGTGGCCGCCTAATTGATATAAGATGCGGATGGCGGTTGAGAGGAGGAGTTGGGCTTGTTGGGGATAGCCTGCTGGGGCGATGTGTAGGGCCTATCTGTGTTAAAATATGGGAGATATGGTAGAAGAGAAGAAGAAGATACCAATATGACAAATGTTTCTAGTTTCCACACACTAGCTAGCTCAAGCATGAGCTTAGGTACTAGTGTCAGTACGGCCTGCACGTAAGCTTCCGGGTCTGTATCTGCAAACTGCGGCTGGTGTTGATGCTGCTTGGTGATAAAGGCTGCGAAGGCGAAAAGATGTGCCTTTTCCGCTGTGGTAGGCGGGGGATCTGTACGGCCAGAGACGAGAGCGTCAAGGACAGCCTGGGAAGCAGGTACATCCACAACAGGAAACATGGAGTACATGCTCTTGGCAGCGTAGTAGTTGAGACACTTCTGGATCAGTGCGTAGCTGGGCCATTGGGGAGTAGAGATTGCTGGCGAGATGGAAGCATACTGGGCCTTGTAGGACTCTGTCACACGGGCTAAGAAGCCGTGCAAGTCCAAGACAGCGCCGGTTTGGCGGTAGACAGTAGCATGGAATGAGTTGCGCTGAGGGGAGTTAGTAGTGCCTGGCCAGGAAATTTCCAGATGCTGTTTGAAAATTTCCATGGCTATGTCGAGATCTGACGAGTCCCGGGGATGTGATGGCGCGGCAAAGAGCGACATGGGCGGACATGGTGAGGCAGATCTCAGTTCATCCTGCAACTGGATAATTGGTGAAACTGCTCCTGGGAGAGGACGGCCGGCAATGAAGCTTTCCAATTCTTGTACACGAGCCTTGGCTTCAGCGAGTTGTCTATGAGAATTAGCAATAACGTTACTTTAAATTTCCCACAATGAACATACTCTCTAATAGTCTTCCTGGGTTGACCAGTCACGGTAAAGGTGCAGGTAACACCAGCAAAATGACAATTCTCACATGCTGGTTTCTCTCCATCGCATCGAATCTAACCCACATCAGTGATGAGCCCGTACTAAGTAAAGGGTATAGGGTAGCACCTTTCTATGCCGGCACAGGTCACATGCACTCCTGGCCCTCCCGCCACGTTGGGCCACAATATCGAGCATATCTGCATTCATGCTGACAGACTGCATAAATCAAATGACACTGGAAGATTCTAATTAAGGGAATGCATGATTAAGACCCTTCAGGGTCCAAGGAGAACTTTATCGCTGCCTAGAGGCTTAGTCATCTACGTGCGTGGCCTGGCGGCCCCACTTGGGTGGGATTCCGCCGAGCCCAGACCAGCCGGGAAGCTTGCTTGATTTATGCATAAATAGTGAGGGTATAGATATAGGTAAGTGGAAAATGATTAATTTAATTGTCGTTGATATAATCAGTATTCGATTGCACTTCCCTTCCGTTCATATGAACATAATGCTTGGGTTATGAGCAAACAAACAGCCACCGATACTATGAATCAACCAACGGTACTAGCATTTCACCTTAATTCTAAACTAAATATGACCAAAATTGGGCTATTCACTTTGCTATTGCCGTTCTATCCGGTATTCGCATTCATTAGAGCATGCTCGTATAGCATGCTGGCTGATATAGCTAGGTTGTCGGCGCAGCGTGCCTTGAAAAAGGGTAGGAACACACAGGCATCCCCTTCGTTTTCTGCCACTCTTTTGCATCCTTGAACGCTACTGTATTTAACATAGAATGAAATGATTAAACTAAAACACCAAGACCTTCTTCTCTATCTGCATCTTCTTTAGTTCTACACCTTCTATTCAGAAGACGTTGAAACGCTCCAGGTCGGAGCGAACGTAGCAGTCGAGAAGTTAGGGTTACGGTAGTCACGGCACGAGGCTGACGGGAACGTGCATAACCCTAACTCGCATACCAAGAGGTAGACACCGATATAATGCTATAGTAGTTCTATACCAGCGACTGGTTATTATTATTATCTATCGGCAACTAAAACATAAGCGACTGCTTTTATGGCACAGTTCGAACACTGTAAGCAAACCCCAAGAATTTCAGTTTACCCAATGCAGAGAACACCCTATCAGAACGAAACCATAGCGCACTTTAAACAATTTCTCCTCCAGATGCATAGTAATAAGTAACCACTCGACTACTTGGCAAAATACTAGAATTTTAAGCCAATTTAGGACGTGTATCAATAATAAGACAAGATAATTCAATAAATCGTCAATATGGTTCCCACACCACCACTCTATTCTAATCATTCCTCAACCCTACATAGCCCCCAACTCGAAAATCCCAAGTCCAACAACAACTAAGTAGTAAACTTCAACCCGCCATTAGCACAAACCACACTTCCCGTACACCACCCCCCATCCTCCGTACAAAGCATCCCCACAACCCCCGCAATCTCCCTCGTAAACGCAGGCCTCCTACCCCCCATCTTCTCCCTAATCAACCTCTCCTGCTCCTCACTCAACCCCTCCTCCCCATCCTGCAACTTACTCAACGGCGCATTATCCTGAAACCCCTGCATCTGCTTCCAAAACTCCTCGCCCGTAGCAAAATACATATCCCCGACCACGGGACCAGGATTCACCGCATTCACCGTCGCCACGTCCGCCAACTCCCTCGCCCACGTCCTCGTCATCGCCTCCAACGCCGCCTTAGTGCCGCCATACACCGACTGACCCGTGAACCCCAACGAGGAGGAAATACTCGAGATGTTGATGATGCGGCCGCTGTGCGCGGGTTTGCGGGGTAGGTACTCGGCGCAGGTTTGCGTGAGGAGCAGCGGGGCCAGCACGTTGATGGTGTAGTGCCAGTTGAAGTAGGCCGGGTCGATGGGGCCCGAGGAGGGGTCGTTGAGGAAGCGGTCTTTGCTGACACCGGCGTTGTTGATTAAGATGTCGATTGTTAGGGTGCCTGTGGTTGGGGAGGTAAAGTGGGTTTTGGCGGCGGAGAGGATGGTGCTGATGGCGGGGGTGGGGTCCGAGAGGTCGGCTTGCACGGGGATACAGGTTATGTTGTGCGTGGTGGAGAGGGTGCTGCAGAGGGATTCGGTGCGTGCGCGGGAGCTGTCCGAGGTGTAGTTTAGGAGGAGGGAGCAGCCTTTGCTGGCGAGGTTGTGGGCGATGGCTTCGCCGATTCCTGGGGGACGTTAGTGGGGTGGTGGAGAGGGGATGGGGGATGGGGGATGGGGAAGGGGATGGGGTACCGCGGGAGCCACCGGTGACGATGGCGAATTTGCCTTCGAGGGGACGGGACATGTTGATTGATGTAGATGTACTGCTGTGTAGTAGCTCTAAAACAGAAGTAAAATGTACAAGAAGGAAAGTTGGGGAATTCAATTTATAGTTAAGTTTCTCTGAAACTGTAACTCGGGTAAATGGCCACCGGGAAATTACTTTATTGGTGCTCCGGCGGCACCAAGGTTAAGGTGTGCTATTAAGTATGTTTGATCTACATAGTGAATGAAAGTTAACAATATACCCTAAATTCAGTTCAACTATATCTAATTACTATCTACACACTCTTCAACAGCCCCAGCAAAGTCTCCCCTACACTCTCCGCAAACTCCTTACAATTCATATCCCCCTGACACCTCACAACTCTCACCCCGGACCCCTCCAACCCCTTCTCCACCGTCCCAAACAACACTTCATCCACCTTCCCATCATAGAACCCATTCCCCGGAACATCCATCATACTGATCCCCCCCGTCGGCAACACAACCACCACGTTCTCCGGACACCTCGCCTTCCCCAACTTCCCCACAATAAACTCCCCGATCCGTCGATTCTCCTCCTCATCCGTCCTTACAATCGTCACCGTCGGATTATGCTCATAGATCCTCCTCCCGCTGAACCGCTCGGGAATTGTATCCTTCGTCCCAAAATTAATCATATCGCACGCCCCCACACTCACTACCTGCGGGATGCCCCTCTCCGCCGCGGCGTCTAACCGTCCCGGTCCGGCGGACAATACCCCGCCGGCGAGCTCATCCACGATCTCAGTGGTGGTCAGGTCCACGATGGCGTCGAGTTGTTGTTCGCGGATTAGTCGCTCCATAGCTTTTCCGCCGGAGCCGGTGGCGTGGAAAACGTAGATTTCGCATGCATCCGGGAGATGGGATTCCAGGTAGGTGCGGATTTGGGTTACGGCGGGTGTGGTGACGCCGAACATTGTGATACCGATTTTGGTTTTCATGGGTGCTTCCTGCTTCGACTCATTTTGCTTGTGGAGTCCATTTTGGGCGTGTCCGTCCGTGCTATTAGACTCGGAGGTATGAAGCTGGTCGTGGTATGATATCGCCATTCCGGTTCCTGCGGCTGCTGCGTTGCGGAGGATTCTGTTCAGAATGCTGTTTGTGCCAGCTACGTCGACGACACTGTACATCATGGTGATGTCTGTTTCTTGGATGTAGGGACCCACGTCGCCGGAGGCCATGGTGGAGACCATCAGTTTCGGGAATCCGATGGGAAGGGCATCGCGCATGATGGTGGTTGCGATGGTGGTGCCGCAGCTGCCGCCGATGGAGAGGATGGTGTGGATTTTGCCATTGTGATAGAGGTCGGCGACGGTGGGGGTGGAGAGATGGGTGATGGATTGGATGTAGTCGTTTCGGGGGAGCTGGGTGTAGTCGATTGTTTGGCCGTCGAGGCTGGGATGAGGAATGTTGATGAGCGGAGAGGAGGTGGCGGCGCGGCCAACGTCCATGAGAAGGACGGAGATGGAGGGGTTAGAGGTTAGTTGGGAGTGGAGGTAGAGTAGTTCGGACCATTTTGTGTCGCAGGTGCCGAGGAGGAGGATGGTTGGCATGTTGCAGGGTACTATAACTTTGATTGTTGTAGATATGGGAGGTGTTGTAAAGAAGGTGATGTTATTGCTACTACTTATTGGGAGCGGGGTTTATAACGTTGTAAGAGGGGCATGTTACACTGTGGCTGGTGGCAGGCAGCTGAAGAATCGATCGGCTTTGCGCTGCATCGTCATATCGGAGACTACTACCGTGCGTAATACCGACTGGAATTTGTCGCAGGAACTCAAAAAGATAATATAATTTAATAACGCAGAAGAGAGGAGTCTCAGCTGCAGACAAACCCACGCCGGTGCAAACTAGTTAGGGTTAGCCGTGGGTCAAATCGCGGACGATCCTCAGCTGAAAGGTGGTTACTGGGACTAAAGGTACCACTCATCCGCCACCAAACTGGATACTTAGCTATCAATTATGTGGTAACCGCCTGATCCACTGATGATTTGGCATACCCCTCTTACCCCTCCTCGGAGATACAGTCACTCCATCACGGGGAGGTTTGTTTCCGGCATTCTTTCATTCGTCATAAGTCCGACTTTTGTAGGTCGGAGGTTATTTAAGGCCCATCCTCAACTGTCCTCCACTACTAGCCCTCGGTTTAGTATATAACATACTACTCTCTTAATACCTACTACAACACCAACCCTACATAAGTACTCCAACATACACACATACACAATAACATCACCATGCCCCGCCCAACCACCCGACAAGAAGTCCTCGACCGTCTTCGCAAAACCATCGCCGATGGTTCCATCATCATCGGTGCGGGAGCCGGTAAGTACCCATCCATCCCTTCAATGCCATACCCTCCTCACCCATCTTTCCAATCATCAACCTCAACATCAACACTGCTAACCACAACAATGACATAAAACACAGGAATCGGCCTTTCCGCCAAATTCATCGAAAAAGGCGGCGCCGACCTAATCCTAGTCTACAACTCGGGGCGATTCCGCATGGCAGGCCGAGGCTCTCTCGCAGGAATGATGCCCTACTCAGACGCCAACGCCGTGGTGGTCGAAATGGTACATACCTCTCTCCCTCCCCCTCTCCCTTCCCTCCCACCACCAATACTAACCAAGGGAACAGTCCAGCGAAGTCCTTCCCCTCATCCAAAACACCCCCGTCCTCGCGGGCGTCTGCGGCACCGACCCCTTTCGAGACATGCGGACCTTCCTGCGCCAACTACGGGACATCGGGTTCGTGGGGGTGCAAAACTTCCCGACAGTCGGTCTGATCGACGGGAACTTCCGCGCGAACCTGGAAGAGACGGGGATGGGATATGAGAAGGAAGTGGAGATGATTCGCATCGCCAGGGAAATGGATCTGGTGACGACACCGTACGTGTTCAATGTGAAGGAAGGGGAGATGATGGCGCGGGCGGGCGCGGATGTGATTGTGGTGCATGTGGGATTGACGACGAGTGGGACGATTGGGGCGCAGACGGCGTTGACGTTGGATGAGTGTGTCAAGGTGGTGCAGGAGGTGCGGGATGCGGTGGTGAAGGTGAATCCGGAGGTGATTGTGTTGTGTCATGGGGGGCCGCTGGCGGGGCCGGAGGATGCGGAGTATGTGTTGAAGAGGTGTAAGGGGGTCCATGGGTTCTTTGGGGCGAGTAGTATGGAGAGGTTGCCTGTTGAGGTGGCGTTGGAGGAGAATGCGAGGAAGTTTAAGGAGATTCAGTTGTAAGTATATCTAGTTTTAGGAAGGTGGAGGTATTTTGGTAAACTACTGTAGTAGGAATATGATGTATTCAATTATCTGGTATCTTCTGTTGAACAATTACTCCACAACCACCAATGCAACCCTAGCCATACCCAGCCACTTTTATTTGCCGTTGAAGACAATGCTTTTGAGCCCCATGTTGATAAAGAACCCTGTATATGTCGTCGTAACATCGTGAATGTTGAAGTCTAGCAGTAGGATTTCGACATCTAGTAGCGGTAGCTATTTCACTTAGTCAGTAGCTGCCAATATATTAAAGTTTTGGGTATAGGAGGGCTTACTGGTCAGCCTTGAAAGGTCCGGTGACCTCCAGGCCAAGGTACTCAGCCTGGACGGGGGTAAGCTGAGACAGCTTGGCGTTGACGTGCTCCAAGTGCTGGAGAGCGACCTGCTCATCGAGAGCCTTGGGGAGAACGTAGACACCAACGGGCTTCTTGCCGGTGGTACCGAACTCGACGTACTTCTTGCCGAACTCGGCATCCTCAGCCTTGAACAGAGCAATCTGGGCAAGGACCTGGTTGGAGAAAGAGCAGGACATGACGAAGGAAGAGTGGCCGGTGGCACAGCCAAGGTTGACGAGACGACCCTCGGCCAACAGGATGATGTGGCGGCCGTTGGCCATGGTGTAGCGGTCAACCTGGGGCTTGATGTTCTGGACCGACTTGGCGTTGGCCTTGAGCCAGGCAACGTCGATCTCAATGTCGAAGTGACCGATGTCTGAACAATTAGCTTGATTCTAAAGATCATGATAGAAGGGACGTACTGCAAACGATGGCGTCGTTGCGCATCACCTCAAAGTGACGGCCGACGAGGATGTCACGGCAACCAGTGGTGGTGACGAAGATCTGACCCTGGGGAGCAGCCTCCTCCATGGTGGTGACCTGGTAGCCCTGGACAGCAGCCTGGAGGGCGTTGATGGGGTCGATCTCGGTGACCAGGACGCGGGCACCCATGCTGCGGAGAGCATCGGCACAGCCCTTGCCGACATCACCGTAACCAGCGACAACGGCAACCTTACCAGCGATCATGACATCGGTGGCGCGCTTGATACCATCGATGAGGGACTCACGGCAACCGTACAGGTTGTCGAACTTGGACTTGGTGACGGAGTCGTTGACGTTGATGGCGGGGACAAGGAGCTTGCCCTCCTTGAGCATGCGGTAGAGGTGGTGGACACCAGTGGTGGTCTCCTCGGACAGACCGTAGCAGTCCTTGAGCTGCTCGGGATACTTCTCGTGAACGAGGGAGGTCAGGTCACCACCGTCGTCGAGGATGAGGTTGAGCTTCTTGCCATCCTTGAAGGCGGAGAGCTGCTGGTCCAAGCACCAGTTGTACTCCTCCTCGGTCTCACCCTTCCAGGCGAAGCTATCAATTATTAGATCGAGCCGATAGATTGGTATACAGTTTTTGACTTACACAGGGACACCGGCAGCGGCAATGGCGGCAGCGGCGTGGTCCTGGGTGGAGAAGATGTTGCAGCTGGTCCAGGTGACCTCGGCACCGAGGGCAACGAGGGTCTCGATGAGGACGGCAGTCTGGATGGCTGCAAGGGATTAGAAAGGTTTCAAAGTAGAAAAGTGTCAAGCCGACATACTCATGTGCAGGCAACCGGCGATACGGGCACCCTTGAGGGGCTGGTCGGGACCATATCTGCGGCGGATGGACATGAGACCGGGCATCTCAATCTCGGCGAGCTCGATCTCGCGGCGGCCAAAGGCAGCCAGGGACTAGAGACATGAATGAGAATTGCGATCATGGTAGAATGTTATAACGGGGAACGTACGATGTCGGCGACCTTGAACTTCTGGGCGGGGGCAGCCATGGTTGTGTGTGATGAAGATACTATAGAGGCAATGGTTAGAATCAGTCAAATTGACAGTGAGAAGAATGAGAAAAATGGAGAGACATGGCTTACAGAAAAAAAGGGGGAGGGTAGGTGAGGAAATATGGAGAGTGAAAGGGAGTAAGAGTAGAGGGGGAAGAAGAGAAATAAAAGGGCGGAGAGAGAGAGCGAGAGAGGGGAAGAAAGAGTGAAGGATTCAAACGGAGCAAAGCTCGGCCGGCGGGGCTGATGCGGTCGGACTTTCTATGCTTCCGGACTGCGTGCTGACGGTGCCTCTCCTGATTGCTGCCGTTGGTCCATCCCCTCGGTCTCGGGACTTAACCTGAAGACTAACCATCTGCCTCATAGTTAACTAGTTAACTATTAACTGACTAAATACAACTGGAGGATGACTATTGTTCTCCGGTATCCATCGCGACCGGCGGATCCCACTGGCCCCAAATCATGGGTGTGCCGACTATCGGATTTTAGACATTCCTCTCAGTGCATCTGGCCCCCTCTTACCTAAGGCCGTCAGCAAGGGATGCCACGTCGAAGCAGCCATAACTAGTGACTGCGATCAAAGAAAACAAAAACAAACTCTTTGGGCATGAAGATAATGCATGAGCAATTAAGGCATCAAAAGATTGAAAGATCAACGAGTCAAATCCCGAGTATCTATCCCTCGCCATATCGATAGCAGATCGTGCTGTGTAGCACCGGACCATCCGCAGCCATGCACGAGCTTCAATCCAAGTAATCCCCTCTGCAGATCCCTCACAGAATGCAGCTACCCTGCTAGCCAGTCAACCAAGGTCCCTCCCAATCTTACCTAGGCCTATCGTAGCAAGGGGCACTCTCTCTGGTTGACATTCACCACCGCCAACATCCACTAGCTCTTAGCCACACAACTAGAAACTAGCTACACCACGATGAAAACCGCCCTAGTCACCCTCTACTCCTGCCTCGGGTTGGGTGTGCCCGCCCTGGCTGCCCTCATGGAAATCATGCTGAGCAATTCCACCTCGTGCCAGATCCGTGGTGGGGATGACATTGCGAATCTTGCTTGTCGGAATACGGTAGGCTGGGTCTGATCGATTTCAAGGAGAATAGGCTAACCCAAGGGTGCAGTGTATTGAACAGGGTGGTGGGTGGACTGGAGGGTTCTGTGATGATCAGCAGTAGGTATCATTCAATCTTGGGAGTATGGAAGCTAACGAAGGACCTAGGATCTGTCATTGTACGTTTGATATTTCTACTACGAAGTAGATAAACGCAGAAAGCAAAGTTATGGATGGGAGTAAGCATGTGGAAGCATCATGTCATGTTTGTCATAAGAATTATGTTCAATTAACCAACACTGTCATTGTCCCAATTTGACCAATTAAACACCGTCATTAAATCGGTAAAAGTTCATCCATCTCTGCACCATTATCAGTGTTCATCCCCATACATCACACAATCCAGGTATAAAAACTCACCTTATCGTACGGCCGGGACGAGTCTGCAAACCGCAAATCCGTCGCCAACCGGATCACTCTATCCGGGTCATTGTTCACCGTCGACGCGTGGATCTAATCCCATCAGCACTATTCACAGGCTTCTAACTAGATGCTGCTTACCATGTGAGGCTTATGCAGCACCACATCCCCCGCCTCGTATTCCGCAACCAACCATCGCCGGCCATTCTCCTTGGCAAATTCGGCGGGATTCTCCGATAACATGCCCGTGGACATCATATTCGAGTTGAAGGCATATTTAGCCTCTTCCTCCGTCATGCCCGCTGCCAGAGCCTTGGCCGTGAATTCATTCTCAATCTTCTGGCCCACGACATCACCTGTCCTCGTCAGCATCCCCACATCATACAATCAAGATGGAGGACATACTATCCTCTAAATAAATCAACCCCCCACCACTCAACTTAATATCCCCAATAGGCACCCAAGCCGTCACAGCCGTGGGCTCACCATGTCTGATGAAGATCTGATCATAATGGACCCCAATGGGCTTCGTCTGAGGGATATTATTTCTCAACAGCGTCCGCTTGAACGTCAACGTATTGTCCCCCCACCCCGTGAACTTGGCAATAAAGGCATACAGCGCCGGATGCTGGACCAGCTTCTCGGCATACCAGTCCTTGTAGTGAGCCTCGATGGCGCGATCGACGAATTGTGCGGCGCTCTCCCCGCCCGGCCGGCCATTACCACCAGCCGCACCGGCCCCGATGCCGGGGAAGTCGTCGGGGGTCTTGTCGGGGTTGAAGATGCCGTGGACAGGGTCGCTGTCAGTCTTAAGGACGCCGGTGGGGGCAAGGTAGGAGAAGTATTGGCGGCGGGCTTCGAGGACGTCTTCGCGTGGGAGGACTCCTTTGAGGAAGAGGTAGCCGTCGGCGTTGAAGCGGGCGCGGAGCTCGTCGAGGGGGAGGTTGGGATCGGAGGGGCGAAGGAGGGCAGCGTTTTCGGAGGTGAGGGGGCCGTCGCTGACGGCGAGGGTTTGGGTGAGGACGCCGGGCATTTCGTGTATACTACTTACTAGTAATGGTAGTGTCGGTTGAACTATATGGTTGAAGATGGGAGGGGAGAGGAGCTGGGGTATAGGGTTATATTTATATATAATTATCTATCCGGGGCATGTGTCGTGACGTATCCTAATCCTAAATCTGAGAGAAAAGGGATCTGCCCCGCGTTGAGGGACGTTCCATGCAGCAAAGCCATGACTGTTGACACTTGACAAGTTGATCGGCTGCAATATGAATGGGGATGTTACAATCAGCAGATTGGAGATTGGCGAACAAGAATCCAGTGGAACTTCCCCCCTCCCCACCCCCGCGTGGAATGATACTCTTCTGGAAACGCCACAATGCGCGGGTGGGGAATCCACTATGCGGGCAATGCTGCCCTTTTAGCTGTCCAGTCTGGATTCAGTAGTGTTTTCCGGTCAGCAATGTTGCAAGCGAGGTTTTCATTACTGATCTTTCTTTGAATCAAGGGTATAGCTCTTCACAAGATACATGCAGTATTAACAATTAGCAATTGAACACCCAATCAATGATACGATAAGATCAAGCTATTCATCCACCCACTCCCCAAACTCCCATCCCCAATTCCCTTCTTCATTCTCCCCCACCACCAACTTCAACGTCGTGAACTCAATTCGTTCATACATTTCCCTCGCCGCCCCACGTGCTCGTCGATGCCATGGTCCCGACCCTCCTTTTCTTGCATCTTCCCGACTGCGCCATACACCTATCATTCACTCGTTATTAGCACAACATATTCTAAGTAAAACCCCCAAAAAGAGGGTAGAGAACTCACAAGTAGCTAACCCTCTCCTCTCCCCATCCACATTTCCAAACCAATACTTCAACAACCCACCCCCCGCCACCGCCTCCCGTAACGACATCTCATCCAACACATGCAACTTCTCCCCATCTGCATCGGCCGTCAACGTCGACCGGAACACCACCACATAGAATATATTCTCGTGTTTCTTGCCCCAAGTATATCCCTCGCTTTTCGCCTGTTTCCTTAGAAACCCAAAGACACTGTCCCAGTTGAAGGACTCGGTGTAGGGCGCCGTGGCGTAGTCGGGGCGAATGGGGTGGAATAGGGTCAGGGCTTTGGCGAGGAGTTGGGAGGCCGGGTTGAGGGTCTGAAGGTCAAGGAGATGGTGTGGGGTGTTGTAGGGGGAGATGATGAGGTTGGTGTCTGATGGTGGTGGTATTAGAGATGAATCATTGGGTATTGTTGGGTTGAGACGAAGTTGGAGGGAGGCAGCGGCTTGGAATTTGAAGGCTTCAGGGTTGGTGGTTAGGAGGGTGTGGTGGTTGAGGAGGATGTTGGTGGGTGGTGGTGGTGATGGTTTGAGCCGTTGATGTTGGGTTTCGGGGGTGGAGGGACGTGGTGAGGTTATGCTGGGGGACATTGTTCTAGTAGTATTGTCTAGGGCTGGTGGTCTATGATGGTAGTAGTGTAAAATAGTATTATGGCGTGGTGTATAGGGGTGTATGCATATAGGAACAAAAAAGGCGGATGGTGATGCTAGAGAGTGACAATAAGAGAAGGAAAAAGATAAGAAAGAAGTATGAGGGGATAAAAGTCGCCATTTAAAAAGAACAGGAAGAAATGAAACCCGACAATAGAGAGACTGCTCATACAGATCCACCCGATCCAACTTCTACTCGGTGAAATCCAAGATCAATCAGATCACCCTCAAAGCACGCAATATGCCGACACTTGAGTCGGTCAGCCGGAATGTTGCACTGCTTGTTGGATGATCAAATTTTGAGAGCCCGGGTGCCTGGATGATCATCGGCTACTAATTTTATGCTTATCATCGGATCCCCGGGTGCAACATGCAACTGGTCTGCACTACAACATCTTCGGTGGTTGGTTAGGGCTCTATAATATGTTGCCCAGGGACAATAACTCCAAGTGCTAGGGGACGGTGGTCAGCCGGTGTGCCAAATGGAGAATCAAGAAAAGTGCTATGAAACACTGCTCGGCGCAACCCCCAGCAGAATTGAGTTCTTGCCCGTTATTGTCACATTCAAGACAATAGCACGACATATCTTCCGGGCTTGCGCCATCAGGGTGTGTGGGCTGGGCTTTGCCTATCCCCAGCCCGAGAAATTTCACCATCCCGTCTGGAACCATGGCTAGCTGTCCACTGGTTCGCATGGAATTTGGCACCCTTGCACAGTACCGTTCACTGATGACCAAAGCAGCTAAACCATAATTAAGCAACTGGTATTTTTGTTTAATCCTATCATACAGTTCTTGATGGTATCATGCAAATCCCACGTTATAACGCCTTGTGAATGCTCGTAGTCCTGAAAACACAATAAATCCCTTTTACTGCTTCACCGGCGGCGGTGGCGGTGGCATCTTACCCTCGCCTGTATCGACCTTCTTCTTCGGAGGCAATGCCGGAACCTTGAAACCTCCATTCCCCCCTTGAGGCGCCGTGCTGCTCTGGCCACCAACTTGCGTGAATGTGCCAGATTTGAACCACCGATCCTCCTCGGCCTTGCGTTTCCGACTCAACTCAGCTTGTACCTTAGGATCCACCAACTCCAACCCTTGCACGGGCGTGAAGGCAATAGTACTGGCAGTACCGGCTGATCCTCCCAGCGAGGTGCCAACTCCAGAGGTCCGCAACCCTTTCGCCTGAAGCACACTGGCCGTTCCACTAGCATTGGAGCCGAATGCACGGAGAGATGTAGATGTGCCACTGACGGGGGTTGCGGTACCCCATCCCTTGTTGTTTTTGCTAAGCTTCGCTCGGGTTCTTTGGTCGATCTGAGTCGCGCGGATCCGCCCATCATTCTGTTGGCCAAGCATGCCCAGTCCGACTGTTCCCTCTCCGGTACCGTATCCGACTTCTGCCTCCTCCCTACCAAAGGCAACCCGGTTCTGGGCTTTGCGGAGTTCCGTCATGGCGACAGCTTCCTTTGCCTTTCTCGCCCGCCGTCCACCTCGCTTACGGGACGGCTTGTCGTCCGGAGCGGGGAGCGCCTTCACGCCCGAGTTCGGCGCGGGTTCCGTAAGCTTTTCCAGACGCTGGAAACACTGCTGCTTCAGCTCTTCGCCGAGCGATCCATCAGGACTGTACTTGGAGACGTCCGCTCGCGTAGCAAGGACCATCTTGGCAGAGACGATGCGAATGGCCTGCCGCTTAAGGTCGTTCGGGACACCTTGTATAATCGGCGAGTTGTATAGAAATCCCTGAGAGCGAATACCAATATTTGTAGCAAATCCCAGTCCCTCCGACCGCTTCGAGCCCTGTGCAGCTAGGTTGCACGCGGGGATCTTCGCTAGCTCAAGCAGACCGCCGGTCTGGTTCAAGAACTGAGCCGCTGTCTCCGGTCCGATCAAAGCCGCCAAGTTGGGAGCGATCTGGCTCATTCGCGACTGGATGCTCTCTGTAAGTGCCGTACGTTCGCGATCGAGCTTCAGGATCCGTTCGCATGTATCCATCACGGTCTTGAGTTCGGACTCGGTCATCTCCCGGCCTCGGGTGGTGGTACCCTCCACGGCCACAACCATCAGGGATGGCCCATCCAAGATCGACCTCAGTGGCACGCCGACCATGTTATCTGGCGAGGTCGACAGAGCCTTGATATCGTTGAGCGGGCCATTTTTCAGAATAGCGACAGTTTTCGCGTAGTCGATCGGGGTAGTCACGAGCGTCTCGAGCTCAGGAAATCGGATAGAGTAGTGATCGCGCAGCACTTTGTGTAGACGAGTCAGTTCGTCGGCGGTCGACAAGGCAACGTCAAACTCGTTGGTGAGCTCAGGCGCTTGCGCCAGCTGCTCCTCATCGACAGCTTCGTCTTCGAGGCCATCACCAGCCTGAAGATCCTCGTCGTCCTCCTCAAAATCTCTCAAGAGATCCTCCGCATTTGACATTATGGGTATTCGGCAGCGTAACCAGCAGACAAGCTGTGTAGGTCCGCAAAGTAGAAGCAAGGCCGCGTAGATGAGATGCAGGTGAAGTTCGAGGTCTGGTTTCGCCGCCACATGGACTGGGCTTTGCAGGCCGGAGCTGAGTCAGCAACGCGGTGGCTGGGGGTGGCGCAAGAGACCAACACCGCAGCTTGTCCGACTTTGGATCGCAGCATCCATTCGGAATCTGGAATCAGCATCAACCTCGACTACCGCCCGGTAGCCAGCACAACGCCTTTGATTTGGAGTATCTGGACGTGTTATCTGTCGAGCCGTATTTAGCTCAGCCCTACGCGCACGCCAGAACTCTCGTTGGCCTTGTCCGGCTTGATCTATACCTCACTTACCGATCGATTATCGTCGCATAAACTACACCACGATGGAGTCGTCACGCGGCCCTCCCAGGGTCAAGAACAAGGCCGCAGCGCCCGTCCAGATCTCAGCGGAGCAGCTGCTTCGCGAGGCCGTGGACCGGCAGGAGCCCGCATTGCAGGCGCCGACGCAGCGCTTTGCCGATCTGGAAGAACTGCACGAATATCAGGGCCGCAAGCGAAAAGAATTCGAAGACTATGTGCGTCGGAACCGAATTAACATGAACAATTGGATGCGCTATGCGGCATGGGAGCTAGAGCAAAAGGAGTTCCGCCGGGCGCGCTCAATCTTTGAACGGGCGCTGGATGTCAGCCCGACCTCGGTGGTTCTGTGGATTCGGTACATTGAGTCGGAGATGCGGAATCGCAACATCAACCATGCCAGGAACTTACTCGACCGTGCGGTGACGATCTTGCCTCGGGTGGATAAGCTGTGGTACAAGTATGTCTACATGGAGGAGACGCTGGGCAACATAGCGGGCACACGGCAGGTCTTTGAGCGGTGGATGTCTTGGGAGCCGGAAGAGGGAGCTTGGAGCGCCTATATCAAGCTGGAAAAGCGGTACAATGAGTTCGAGAGGGCGCGCGCGATTTTCCAGCGGTTCACGATTGTCCACCCCGAACCACGCAATTGGATCAAGTGGGCTCGGTTTGAAGAGGAGTATGGAACGAGCGATCTCGTGCGGGAGGTGTATGGAATGGCGATTGAGACGTTAGGAGAGGACTTTATGGACGAGAAGCTGTTCATCGGCTATGCCAAGTTCGAGGCGAAGTTGAAGGAGTATGAGCGTGCTAGGGCGATTTACAAGTATGCTTTAGATCGACTTCCTCGCTCAAAGTCCATGGCGCTTCACAAGTCCTATACGACATTTGAGAAACAGTATGGTGACCGGGAAGGCGTTGAGGACGTGATTCTTTCGAAACGCAGAGTCCAATACGAGGAGCAACTGAAGGAAAACTCGCGGAACTACGACATATGGTTCGACTTTGCCCGGCTTGAGGAGACCTCGGGCGACCCCGACCGAGTACGCGACATCTACGAACGCGCGATCGCCCAAATACCACCATCGCAGGAGAAGCGGCACTGGAGACGGTATATCTACCTCTGGATATTCTACGCCATCTGGGAGGAACTGGAAGCTAAGGACGCCGAGCGTGCGCGCCAAATCTACAACGAGTGTCTCAAGTTGATTCCCCACAAAAAGTTCACCTTTGCCAAGATCTGGCTCATGAAGGCGCAGTTTGAGATCCGTCAGATGAATCTCCAAGCCGCTCGCAAGACGCTTGGCCAGGCCATCGGCATGTGCCCGAAGGATAAACTCTTCCGGGGATACATTGATCTAGAGCGCCAGCTGTTCGAGTTCGTGCGGTGCCGGACGCTGTTCGAAAAGCAGATCGAATGGAATCCTTCCAACAGCCAGTCGTGGATCAAGTATGCCGAGTTGGAGCGCGGGCTGGACGACACCGACCGTGCACGAGCCATTTACGAGCTTGGGATTGACCAACCAACTCTCGATATGCCCGAGTTGGTGTGGAAGTCGTACATCGACTTTGAGGAGTACGAGGGCGAATACGACCGGGTCCGCCAGCTGTACGAGCGTCTGCTGGAGAAGACAGACCACGTCAAGGTGTGGATCAACTACGCTCGCTTCGAGATCAACGTTCCCGACGAGGAGGAAGAGGAAGAGGAGGAGGAAGAGGAGCGGCCGATCAGCGAGGATGCCAAGCGTCGTGCTCGGACCGTTTTCGAACGAGCCCACAAAGTGTTCAAGGAGAAGGAGCTCAAGGAAGAGGTAAGCTGTCGTCAACGTTCCTTTTCTGACATATCCCTGACTAACCATGACACAGCGCGTGGAACTGCTCAATGCTTGGCGATCGTTCGAGCACACGCACGGTTCACCAGAAGACATCGACAAGATCGAGAAGCAGATGCCCCGGCGAGTCAAGAAGCGGCGCAAGTTGGACGACGACCGGTATGAGGAGTACATGGACTACGTATTCCCGGCGGACGACCAGTCAGCGGCAAATCTGTCGAAGCTGCTGCAAAGAGCTCACCAATGGAAGCAGCAACAGCAACAACAAGGGGATGGAGCTTAGATCGATGTACCAGGGTAGTTCTATACATAGCTGGGGAGTTAATGGCATCACGAGATGTATCATGTCAGTAGTGATTGCTTTTTCATCTGATTACACGTGCGATTGCCAATTTTGTGTAGCACCAATCCATCCTCTGGCACTCTGTGGACTCCGTCTGTCTACGAGTGACGCTATACAGTGCAGTACTCGATAGTCAGTCACATAGCCACACGTGATCTGGATGCTTGTATATTGAACCACTCACCAAACAACTTCCTTCTATATATCATAAAGAGCAAAGTTTCAGCACGAACAAGGGACGATGGCGCATCTGGGAGCGCGTCAGACTGAAGATCTGGAGGTGGCCGGTTCAAGCCCGGCTCGTCCCATTCTTCTTTTTTTCCCCTTCGCTTCCTAATCCTACAGTTAAGATAGACAGTAAACTGGATTAAGAACGCAGTTCATATTTCTAGATAGACTTGAATACAAAAATCTCCGCGAAGAAATATCAGATAAGGAAGCAGAATGCGCAACGCTCTTCATACAGTCCCTGAACTCTTAGGAACCCTCATTTGGTAGTCTTTCTGCTTGCCCACCGCCCTCTCTTCGCCTCAACCCTCTCTCCCGATGGTCCGTCTTCTGTCCCTTCCACCTGCTGGACTGCCTTCGTTCTTGTTGCTCCCCTTGTCCTTCGAGCGCGCTTGGGAGCTGGGCTCTCGGGCTCTTCTTCGACCCTTTCTTCATTCTCCTGCTCAATGGCCTTCGTTCTTGTTGCTCCCCTTGTCCCTCGAGCTCGCTTAGGAGCTGAGATCTCTGGCCCTTCTTCGCCTTTTCCCTCCATCTCCTGCTTCAAAGTGGCCTTCTTCTTTCCCCGTCTCTTCGACTCATCCTTTTTATTCTCCTCTGCTCTGTGTTGCTCCATCTCTCTTGTCTCTCTCTCCAGTATAGCCCTATTTTGCGCCTTTTCCTCTTCTTCCCTTTCGTACGTCTCCTTGTCCTTAGCACTCTGTTCCTTTCGCCGCTTCTCCCACACCTCTTTTGTGCACTGGGCATCCTCAATCACGGCCACAGCTTGGGTCCATTCTTCCAGTTGACCATCTGGGAACGCCCCTCTAATGCGCGACACTGCCGGTTGCAAGATAAACAGAATGCGATGACCGTCCAGTCTGGGTACATCTGGTCGGATACTATGACAGTAGTCTGCGGTTACCCACGGCTCCCCTCTCCGGAACAAGGGAGAGGCCAGCCGTGTAAGGTTTCGATATGTGCAGGTCCCATGAGAACAGCTGAGATCGATTGCCATCCGCTCAGCTCTCTCGTAGTATTTGATTAGCGTTGCCTCCCTATCGACGGTGTCTTCACATTCTCTAAGGAGCATCCGGAATGGCGGGTCCTTGAGCATAGCGGAAGCAAATGATCGAGCAGATTCCTCGCGTCGGCTCTTCGTATGGCGGCCCAGTTCGGTGTTATCGGCCTGTTTACCATTAACGGAGTTCGCAAGTCGGACGGTCTCGGTCTTCCAGAGACTTGCTGATTTTGGATTGACTTTATGGTAATAAGTCAATACAAATACGAATGGATTGCTGAACTTGGATATGTGAATGGATTGGTAATCTCACCGATAAGAAATTGCTGATATACATGCTGCAAATGCTCTGCGAGGGACAGACAACTCTTTTTTGGAGCTTCTGTGTCATCAGAGTCAGGCTTCCCTTCGAAGTACCAAAACGGATTCTCGAAGAACTTGTCCACGATGTCCTTCACGAGCATTGTCTGGGCGAGGGCACGAGGAAGCACTTCACAGATCGGATAAGGCAGGGACTCTATAAAGGTATCCCAGTCCAAATCCTGTACGCAGTAGCCTTCCAGGCTCTGAAGAATGGTTTGTTTCTCACTGGTAGAAAATTCTGCCAGAGCAGCTGTTTCCATCTCCACCCACTGATCAGTCCATGACTTGGCACTATAGAAGAGCTTCTCAAACTCCTGGTCATATTCGATTGGGATTGCTTCCCACCCATGTACGCTTGAGTCTGCAGTCCACCATTGTTTCCTGTATTTCTCCTTGAAGTCATCTAGTTCTTCCTGGAGATGAGCAATCCTTTCCTGGAGTACTCGGATAGTTTCGTTCTCCCCTGGCGCCTCCTCGACTGAAACAGGGTCCATGTCTTCGTGGGCTGTATGCAACGAGGTGTTCTAGATGGATGAGCATGATTGGTTAGGGGTCGGTTCGCTAATTTTTAAAAAATCATGATTGTTGCGCTTACTCTGACTTTCTTTCCTTTTCCCATGTTGGCACGAAGATAACTTCCGATCTTGAAGGGGCTAGTCTGCCTGGGCTGGGTGATGAGAGCGATGACAAGTCGATACGAAGAGAGAATGGGACTGCCTGGAAGATATCAGAGCAAGAATGGGCAATGAAAGAGTCTGTCTCATTGACAGCCTCGTTGTCCGCGATGGGGCAAACAGGGCTTCTTTGTCCGTTATCCGTTGACTTCTCAACTTTCCGTCCTCCTCTTCGGACCTGTCAGTCGGCAAGCGCTTCTAAACGAACTGTACGAGTGTGCCGGCCTATGATATATTTTGCTGTTTTTTTCAGCGAGGCGAAACCTTCCGAGACAACGGAACCTACTCAGGCCTATCAGCTTGCCGGCTGCTAGAGCATCATCAGCGGTGGGGTTCCGAGATGCCTTGGCCATGATTCCCATCGGGAATGGGAAGTTGCACCCAGCTTTGAGAGATTGGAAAGGGGTAGACGGACGGTGACTGATGTCCCCAGACATTCATATAGTCTCGTCGCTGTCTCTTCTGTCTTGAATCTTTACCACCTTTGACTCCCTTTATCTGCGCTGCAACCACCTACGATTCAATCACTTCATCCCCCGTCTTCTGTTTCCTCCGTAACATTCACAACAAGCTAATAGACATATTTCACCCCAATCGCAATGGCACCTCGTACTTCAAAAATGGTCGTGGCAATCGACTTTGGGATGACATTTACCAGTGAGTGCTGGCTCTCAAGCTGGAGGCTTCGTGCAGGCACTTACTCCATCAGGCGTTGCTTCAGCCCATCTTGAAGTAGGACAAGACACCTTTACCGTTAAAACCATACACAGCTGGCCGGGATTGACTACGCCTACAAGCAGGCTTCCTTCTGTCTTAAGCTACCCGGAAGGCGATTATCGGTGGGGGTCACTTGCCTACGCGTTTAAGCCAACATATGCTTGGTTTAAGCAACTGCTGGATCGCCAGACCCCATACAATGAGTTCCGAGATGCTAATTTTGAGAGGGTTACAAATCAAACCCTAGTAGAGCCAGCGCCGGGTAAGGAACCTGAGCAAATGGTCGCAGACTTCCTCCGAGGAGTACGTCTCTTCCTGATGGACTATCTGAGCCTTCTTTTGACCCCTGCGACGACTTTACATTTTTGGTTCTCCACCCCAGTTGTCTGGGGAGATGCTGCCCGCATGGCCATGCGAGAGGCTGTCCACCTTTCAGGGATCGGTTCAGATTTTCCAGGAAGTGTTGACTTCACCTCTGAGTCTGAATCGGCCGCCCGATACATATTAGAACGCGAAGGTGATAGATTTAAGGTGAGTGGAGTATTGAGAGGGGTTCATGGTGATTGAGCCTGCTGACGATGGGACTATGACACAATAGACTGGGGATGTCTTCTGTATATGTGACGTGGGAGGATACACTATTGTGCGTGCCTTTTGATCAGATACTCAAGTCAGTTCTCTGACGTTCAGCTAGGACTCGGCAAGCTACCGTGTATTCTCGCGTGAACCAGTCTTGCGGCTCACTCAACTAACCGAATCCCGCGGTATGTCGTTATAGCCCTGCATTTTGGCAGTTACTTCATTCCACTAACACCTAAACAGGCCTGAGATGCGGGGCGATGACTGTGGAGATGCGTTTTCTGGATCTGATGATGGACCGGTTCGACAAGGCTTTTGAAAAAGCATTCCATAGAGAGGGTGCTATGACGAGTTCGTTTATGAACAAATTCGCCGATCTCAAAGAAAAGTACAATGGCACCGGCTTGGAGTGGAGGCTGAAGTTGGAATTGGATGTCATCCACTCGAGGTTTTATGACACCCGAACAAGCGAAGTCCTTCTCACGCCCGATGATCTGGTGCTCATCTTTCAGGCAGTCATCGACAACTCCATACACTTAATGGGAGCTCAACTAAACGAGGCTGATAGAGAGAGCTACAGACATGGGGGCTGTGGAGTGAAATATTTGTGTGTCACTGGCGGATTCGCCAACTCACCGTACGCGAAAATCCGATACGATGAGTTTGCAAAAGAACGAGACGTTGAGCTGATCATCCCTGACCACCCAGCCATTGCCACTGCCTCTGGCTTGGCTCTTCTGGGCGTCCACAATGTTGCCTACATCAAAAAGGAATGCGCCCGCACCTATGGACTTTATCACCCAGACCTCATGCTGACCACTGGAGACAATGTGGAGCGACCTATAATCAGGCGGATTGACATGATGCAAAGGACGCCCCCCAAAATAACCTGGCTCTTTTACAAGGATGTATCTTACGAGGAAAACTTTCTCTACTCCCGTCGTTTTGAGCTTCTGCACGCAGTTGACACGATTATGATCAAGACAGTCACCGTTTATGCGATTGATAAATCAGATCCAGAAGACAAGCGCAATATGATCCACCCTGACGACCTAGAAAGGCCGGCCCATGTCGACATCAATCTGTCACACATCCAGCTCGACCACCACCCTCGAGTAGTCAGAAACGGAAGAACTTGGTACCAGGTCCTCATCGACGTGAACGCCATCCTCTGCCTCAAGAAGGGGGAATTGAACATTGAAGTTTCGGCGAATGGAACTATTTGTGGACATTGCCATGTCCTTACAGCCTGGGGATAAGTTGCTCAAGATGTCGCTGCGCGGTCTAACTAGCTGGATGGTTGGGTCTTCAACAAGTCATGGATGAGCAAACGCTGCACCCGGTTCGTTTAGCTTCGGTAAACCGCTTTTGGATTCCGTTTGTTGCTTATTTCGCGATTTCTTTCTTCTTTCTTGATTCTAATTTGCCATCTTTTTCTTCCATTTCTTTTTTCACTCACACTTTTTATTTTTATTTATTTAATTTCCTTTGCTCTAATTCTTTTTTTTTTCTTTTCCTTTTCTGGTATCTATTGAAAGGACGGCGAGACTGTTTTGGAGGATATTTCTTTCTTTGAGTATTCATCGGATCAGTCAGGCAGGACCCAGTATGGAGTAAACCAGATTGTTATCTGAGTCCTGAAATCAACATGCTTCGCTTTAAATACATCCTTCTTTATCAGTAAGCTGATACGAACATTAATCTATCCCCATGTTTTCGGGGACTGTTGTCAAGGGGTGAATGAACCGACTGGTAAGTGTCCACATCAGCATACTGGGTGGCGGAGGCAATGCTTGGAGAGAGTCCTTGGGACAAAGAATGAGAACGACGGGACCAACTCATCTTAGACAATGCCCACGTAAAGCCTATCATGATACAAATAGTTATCGCACCCTCATAAAGAAACGTTGATTCTCAGTCTTACTAAGATTTCTTTTCGGTGTGCGTGCCCGTTGTTCCGCAGCTTATTTCGTAAATTTTGAATTGTTCATTCTTTTTTTCTCTCATTTTTTTTTTCAGGCTATCATTATTTCTATCAAAAGTTATGGCAGTGCTGATAGTTTCATTATTATCATCATCTGTAATACCTTCCAATCCTTGAATAATTACTCTGCTGGTTTCAATGTGACGCAGTCGTTTCCCTCTCGAGTCTACGCTGATAAGCAGGATTTTCCCCCGAAATTTCTCATGACGTATCAAAAGATTCTTACTGTACATATGTAATTGTTAATCTTTCTAGCCATCGCGAGAAGTAAAAGACAATCTTCGATATGAGTATCATTACAATTTATCTTGTTGGCCATACAAACACTAATTCAATTTGCCACAAGATGCACATGATGAAAGCAGCAACAGGAAAAGTAATAATAATAGTCATAACTAACAATAATAGTAAGAATAGAAAGAATACCATTACTGAGCTTATGGAATTACCACAAGCCAAAGTACGAAAACTACACTTGTTGTTAGTGGTAGTAGTGCTCTCGGCAGGTAACCGGACATCTTTGACAGGGTGAAGGAGGGTCGAGGGGACGCCGCAAACCCTGTCTTTGTCGGGCTTCATCCTATATTCGTCACATCGAACGTTAATAGCTACCTTTGATGTAGAGTTTAATAAAGGAGAAGGTGGTGGGGGAGGGGGGGGGAGGCGGCTGTATAGTGTTCTAGACAAACAGCAGATCCATTTACCACCTCCCATACAACTTGTCCCCCTCAAATCACAGCGCGAGCATAAGTACTAGTAGTATGAAAGACCCGAAAACCTTATTTCATTGGACCTGTAAGAACGGGGATATTCGGAGACTTGTCACTTCGAGCATTAAACTCCAGCATTGAAACCAATCCAACCCAAACTCTCCGGCGGCACCTCCTTGGAAACATTTCTTTCGGATGGACATTTTGGATGTCATTAATACTTCGAAGATTTTGAATAACAGAGGCCAAAATTGGAAGACTCCTCCTGTCTGTTGTGTAAGGCTCGTTTATTACTGATTATATCATTCACTGTATAGTAATCCGTCCCCTGCGGATTTGCGGATAAAAGTGGTATTGCGTAGTTGCTCTAGGGCAGGACAACGGCTCTGATTCGGGCTTCTTAGGCATTTGTGTATAACCGAGCAGCATTGCGCTAGAGACACCGAATTTATCGACCTCATTGTTAGATTCCATCCCATTTTACTACTTGCGTGAGATAGATTGATAATGAATGACTTGAAAATTGCTTTGCCGTAGAAAGAGAAGCAAAAAGTTCCTAATGAGAATTGTTTGTAAGGAATAGGAGTGATGAGGCGAGGAATATACAGAAAGAACGAATCACTGCATTAAAACATTCGACAGTCTGGGGCAATTATAGACAATACGATATAAAACAAAAGATACTACTCATCTCCCTTACTTATTCTTCTTCCGTCTCAACCTCTTCAGGGGTTTTTGCAGAAGGCTTTGGTCGCTCTCGCTCATGATCTTCCTCGGTGTAGTCACCATGTTCCACCAATAGCTTGGCTTTATTCAAGACGTTTTCGTCACACCTCAGAGTCCTTAGCTTTAGTATTACAGCCGGCTGGGTTATACCTAGGATGCGACGGCCAGCCAATCTGGCATCGTCAGCATTACCCCGGACATTATGGAGGTTATGAACTGTCGCTTCGTGGGATCTCGGATCAAAGGTGGTTCCCATAGTCGGCAGTGTCTTATACACACAATGTCCCTGATTGGAGCCGAGGGTAATTGCTGTCTCATCAGCAAATTTGCATAACTCCAGAAGACTGTCCTCTCGCTTCGTCGCTTCGTCGCAATCCACACTTTTTAATAGCCTCTGGAAAAAGACGTCGGAAAGTAGGGTGGAGGCGAACAAAGCGACAGCGTTTGTGCGATATTCCTTTGTCTGCCGACCGAGCTCGAGATTGGGTGCTTGGGATACCTTGACTGAATTTGACAGACGGACAGTTTCTTTCTTCCAAATGGTGGCTCTGATGCCATTTGCTGCAGTCCTGGTCAGCATCAGATGAGGATGATAGAAGGATGCGGAAGAGATGTTCCCACTTTCTAAAAATCGTCGGTACAGATGTTGCAGATTCTGTGCACAGGAGACTGAACCCGTCGTATGATCCTGCCGATCGAGGCCTTCTCCTTCAAGGTACCAAAATGGGTTGACAAAGAACTTATCCACGATGTTCTTTGTCAAGATGCTCTGAGCGAGCACCTCCGACATATACAGAGAGAAAGGGTAGGGAAGAGATTTCATCAGTGTATCCCATTCCAAATCTTGGACCCAATAGCCTTCTAGGCTATGAATGAGGGCTTGCTTTTTCAAGTCATGCAGTTCAACGGTATCTGGCATACCTTGCCGGGCATGTTGTTGGCACCAATGTTCTATGCGATACATAACCTGGCGGATCCGATGCCCCAAGACCTCGAAATCATAATCTGGCCAGCCCTTGGCCCCGGCAGTAAGCATCTGCATTTGTAACTTGAAGTCGAGCGAAGCTTTTCCCTGAAGAATCTCCAGTTTGTCCCGGAGAAAGGCAACTTCGGCCTTGAGGGCTTCGACGTCCTCAATCTGGGGTGAGCTTTCGTCTTCTGAAACATGACGGTCGGAATTACGGTCGGTATCGGCGGGGGAGGATGCCTCCTATAAGAAAGAAGTTTAATCAGCGTGTGCCCGATGTCTGCATTCTAGAATTTACAAGAGGGTCTTTGAGTCTGAGCCCGAGAGGATACTTACCTGAACAGAAGTCTTATCCATGTCGGCGGTTCGGAGCTGTGCAGAGAAGCAAAGCTGAGGAAGACAGGTAAATGAGAAGTAGACGATGAGATTAGAGAAAGACCAAGGGGCAATGAAGAAGTAACTGTAACGTGGGGAGACGATGAGAGGGCGTTAGAGAAACCAGGACTTGAAAAGAGGTCCAGTGGCTTTGTTCCCCGTTCTTCCCGTTGACAACCAACACGCAAGATGGAGCATCTAGACCTTCAAAGGTGTAACTCACTTCTCTCCTATTCTCTCTATTTACCCTTCTCGTTCTCCTGATTACTTTGACCCTGAGACAGCCGAGTGAGAACAGGCCTATCAGGTATGGGAGGTCTCCAGACTAGTGATCAGCCAGCCTCGTATCTGCCGGGACGGCCAGTTTTCCCTCCGAGACAATTGCCTGCCCTCTTCAGAGAGCTAACAGACGGTTTATGTGTTGGGCAGCATGGGACACATGAGAGGGCAATACAGTCTATTTCTGCTTTCTCCTCCTTTTTCCCCTCCTCTTGGATGCTTTTGAGTGTCAGCGATATCTCCACTTCCACACCCCAACCCCAGCCCCCAGTTCAGAATTGCCATTTTCAAGTCCCCTTATCATACGAGTGTTCGTTACAGTCAATATACCAAGGTCTACAAGTGAGCCCTAAGTTGGGCCAGTAACAATATGTCACAGGCCAAGTCAAAATTAGTCTGTGGTATTGACTACGGCACGACGGGTACCGGTGAGTTGACGGTTCCCAAACTTTTATACATCATGCACGAGGCTAATCGTACCTAAGCCGCTGCTTGGGGCTATGGTACTGACGAGCAAAGCATAGATCCACCCATCTATCAAGTGGATGAATGGCCATCTCAATCCCGGGCCAAACTGCCATCGACAATGCAGTACCCAAGTGGCATGCAACCTCGATGGGGAGTGGAGGCTACACCTGAGCTCGAAACTTTCAGGTGGACCAAACTCCTTTTAGACCCAGACTTGGAGTCAACAGATTTCCGGGACGAGGAATTGGAGAGGGTATCGAGACAACGAATCATGCGGCTGCCAGCCGGAAAGTCGGCCGTGCGTGTCGTTGCCGACTACCTCAGCGGGATCCGTAACCACCTGGAGCAGTCGTACATTTTTAGTCAACCAAACATCAAAAAGGAGTACTGGTTTTCCATTCCGGCGGGCTGGTCCAACGATGCACAAGTGCGGATGAGTGAGGCTATCCACTTGGCCGGGTTTGGTCAAAAACCGAATGAGGAATTTTGCCTTGTTACTGAAAGCGAGGCGTCCGCGATATCCATCCTAGAGGCATCTGGGGAACGAAGAAAGGTTCGTAAGTGTGCCTACTTGACCTCAGGGAATATTTCTGGCTAATGGAAGATTGATTCAATAGTCCGGAAGCACGTTTTGCGTGTGTGATGTGGGCGGGGGGACGGTTGTGAGTAGAATATGCGCGATTGTTCAACGTTTCAAATCCTAACAAGAAGCTAGGACATCGCCTGCTATATGATCACGGATGTAACTGCAACATCATATTCACTCACGGAACTGAGCAGTGCCATAGGTAAGGATGTTCTTTCACTGGTTTGTATACAAACGAAGAGCTAATGCATCCACCATAGGCCCCAAGTCTGGGAGCACCATCATTGACAGAGAGTTCTTGAAGCTCATGAGGCATCGCTTCAACGCCTCCTTCATAACTCCGTTCAACGACGACAATTCTGATCGCAGAGAAAGTCTCATGAACGATTTCAAGAAAGGAAAGGAAGCGTTCACTGGAGATGGAAGTAGCCATCGTCTTGAATTCCGGATGGAATGCTTTACGTCGCAATGGTATGACTCAACGGCGGGTCATATAATCTTGTCCGACAGCGATATGCGGGCATTTTTTGACACCGTTGTCGGCCAAGTCCTCCATCATGTGAACGATCAGGTGGACAAAGCCACTCGTGGCCACTTCAAGATCGACGTACGTTCAGGTTCTGTGTAATCCCCTTGATTCTAAGCTAACTGACCTGCAGGAATTGTTGATGACTGGGGGGCTGATGCGCTCTAAATTTGCGCGGGAGGCATTTTCGGAGGGGTTCAAAGATGCAGGATTTTCCAGGATCTTGTTTTCCGAAGCACCGTGAGTTTCAGAGGTTTTGAGGCGTGCTACATGCTAATTCAAAGGCAGTGAACTATCTGCATCTCTCGGTGCTGCGCGAAAGGGCCTGAGCGGCATCATCACGAAGAACCAGACATGTAACAAGAGTTACTTCATCGCATGCTCAGGATTACGGGAGGAACCCGGAATATGTCTGCAAGCTTTCATTGATGAGCCCGATGCGCCCGCTAAACCCCAACAGATTTTGGTCAAGGTAACTTGTTGGAGAAGAGAGAGAGAGAGAGAGAACATTCTTCTCGTTTGCCTTCTCGGTAATGAGATGCTCTTTGCTAACTCCTCACAAGGGCCATGTCTACGAGGAAGATAGACCTACAAGGCTGTATTTCACCTTTATAGTCGCCCGGGGGAGCCCCCTGTCAAAACGTTCTTTCTAAAGATGAGCGATGGCCAAAGTAAGCTGTGTCCCGCCATGTTACCAATAACAGCACTGACTTTGGCGCAACGAAACTGCAGATTCGCGCGTACTGGCCCGGTTGACCTGCAATCTGTCTGACATACCCACCGACGAACGCGCCCTACAACCTGCTGCTGCAGGCGGTGTATACTCGCATCAATGCATCTCTGTGACTGCGACATTTCGTGTGAAGGGGTACCTGGAAATCAAAGTGCATACTAAATGTAAGGTGTTGGCCCAAAAAAGGGTTCCTAGAATATGGAGTGAGCGTGCGGGTAATTGAAAGGGTGAGTCTCTCTCGTGCGATTTGCGGACTGTTATGCGATGAGTGGTAAGTACGTGTTTCAAAACATCCCATATATATTGGTATCTGCTGGAGTTGTCTTGGAGTTTTGCTTTATTTCTTTTCTGTTCTGTTCTTTTCTTCTCTCCCATCCGACTACTATCTGTTTCTATATCTCCCTAATGTTTAGTATCTATACGAGCAATAATTCAATTTTTTTTTTTTTTTTTTTTTTTTTTTTTTTTTGGTTTCCCTTCACTTTATTTTGGTCTCTCTCCCTCTCTCTACAATAATATATGGAATCTCTTTTCGGGCCGATTGTTTTCTCTCTCCTACTGCTGTACTTAGATTGCCAACATAGATCATTTTCGTCTGCAAAGGTAGTAGTATATATTATGCCAGTGCATTAATTGAAGTCGAAGTCGCGATGGTAGTAGCAACTACAACTACTAAGTCGCGGTACTATTCCTAGTAGTACTTCTGTGCTCCTTCAACAACTGGTCTAGACAATCTTACTTAGAATTCCCATGACTAGTAGTATATAACAATAATAATTGACCGACATTGTTATAGACTCGTTGTCATGGTTGGTTCTCATCTCAATTGGTATAACTACTTACTATCTAGTCCTTAATCGGTTTAGTCAAGTAGTTAGTTAACTTTTTAGTTAAATGAGTTATAGTTAATGGCAGGGGGGGTTACGTCAGTCCCGGCGTGGTTTGAAGTGCCTGAGGCTTGCAGAGCTATCCACCAATCAGCAATGTGATGCATTTCCAGTGGGGCCGATGAAACGGCCACGAGTCATGTGAGAATTTAGGATGATACAAAGTAGATACTTATCTACAGAGTGGTCCGGCCTATAAATAGATGGGACTGATGATGTAGGAGAGATGTTCGGCAAGGTCAGAAGTGGGAAATAGGTTTTCTTTTCTCGCGACGGGAGAATATCTCTGTCTGCAGTGAATACTCAAGTAACTATGTAGCTGTAATAATAATAACTGTCGTGTACCTGCATATCCAATGCTGGCGGGTGTGCCTGACTAGTCCCGCCAGAACCAATAATCGGGAAGTTGATCCCGGTCGGGCGCACGAGGGATGATAATGATAATGATAATGATAATGCATCATCATCAAACACTAGCAACTATATCATAACCTCCTTAGGTTATGATACCTTCAATAGGGATGTTGCTGACTGGTTTCATTTCACCGAATTATCCGGATACTAGTAGTATTTACTATCTATCTACCCCAAGGATACTAATGACCGGGGGGGTCAGCACAAATTCTTACTGTGGAGACTCACCGTTTAATTGCTTTTCTCCCTTTCGCACGTTCTGCCGGACATAATCTTTATTAAATACTTCCGAGCAAGGCAGCACCATTTCTTTTGGCCCGATGCGATCGTGGGAAGAAGGTTCGGGAACTTTTTTCTTCCTTCCTGCTTTCTTTCTTTCCTCTCCCTCTCTGATCATCATCATCATCATCATCACCATCAGTCAGCCTTGAGTACCATGGATGCAAGACCCAAGGGTCCAATTCCCACGGCAGGATGACATTAGGGGCCCAAGGAAGGGGGAGGGGGGTCACTTGGTGCAACCTGCATGACCTAATTGAGTAACCAGTAAAACAAGTTGACCAACTAATGGTATCTATTGTTCATGATGATGAGAAGGAAGATTGATGATTGTTGGCACGCTCTAAAGTGCCTGCCTGCCTGCAGTGACAAGGGTGGTTGGGGGGAGGGGGAAAGAAGTTTCTTGACCAGCCTTGCAGCTTCATGCAGGTACATTCCCTTTCACTTCAGTCTGTCCCTCCCCTCCTCGGTCGCGCGACTCATGTCAAACAGATGATGGTTTTCGCGTAGAATTCGGAAGTAAAAGCGCAAGAAGAGTCGTAGTCTAGCTATCACAATCGGTCACTCGTTGATTTATTGGAAGAAATTCAATGGTCGTCAGCACAGATGTTAATTAGATGGTATAGTGTACTAACTAAATAATAACTAACGAGGTGGTGGTCGCTCCTTCCCAATTCTTCCCATCGCCGCCTCCTCCTTTTTCGCTCCTTCCATTCTCTACTCTCATCACTCTCTCCCTCCCTTCTTCTTCCTCCCTTCCCCTCCTCCTCCTCCTCCTCCTTCTTTCTTATCCAAAACGTGCTGTGCACTAGTGTTTCCCTCTACTTCTGCTTTTACGTTCGTTCTCTTTTTGTTGTTGTATCCTTCCTTCCTCGGTTCACTGAACTCTCCACCAGGGGAGAAAAAAAAGGGTGAGTTTCTCGGCTGCCCTTCCTAGTGCTGGTCTAAGCTGCCCGCCGGCGTTTCACCCTCCACCCCCAATCCAAATCCCTCCTCGCCCTCTCTCTCTCTCCTGATGCTCTCGTCCCTCCTTCTCCCAATCCCATCCCATCCCATCCCATCCCCTCCGTTCGCTGGCCTTTCGCTTCCTTCTCTGCCTGACTCGGTCTGGCTTTTGCTCTCCTTCCTCGCCCTTCTCTTTCCTTTCCTTCTTTTTCACGTTTGCTGCCGATTTGATATCGTGCACTCCGTCCATCGCTTTCTCTTCGCAAACATCCTCCCCCGTAAAGCCTAACCTTCCCAATTGACACGCTCTTTACCAGGTCGTCGTTCGTTTTTCACCCACTCAACGTTTAGCCCCATCTTTCCCAAGCAGATCGATCTTCTGGATTTCCATATCTATCATCGCCTTTCTGTGCTCTACCGGGACAATTTCCTTCAGATATCGCCCTCTCTCGCTCGCTTTCGAATCATACATTGCCCAATCACAGCTCCGATCCGCGATCATCGCCTCCCCTCTCTGCACCTGTGAACACGACCCTCTACCGTGTCGATCATGCGATAGTGCTCCGGCAGTCATTCTTCATCCTTTCTCCGTCCTGACGCCTGCGCGCTGAACCCCTCGGACGGCTGGTTGTTTCCTGATCGTCTTCGGCTGGTACATTCGAAGAACTTTTCCTTTTCGCCCTTCTCCCACACATTCGACATGCTTGTTCCGAAACCTCTTGTGGATCTGGAGGGTCACTGCTCCGCTTTATACAACAACACTCTCTACACCTACTCCGCCAATGGCTTCATGTCGATACCCCTCGAGCGCAATGGAAATTGGACCTCATTGACCATGGGTGAGGCCGTCTCAGACGCAGCGTGTGTGATAGGTGGCACAGACGGCGATGAGACCAAGCAATCTCTCTATGTCATTGGCGGATCCGGCTCCTCAAGTCAGCCGGGCTTGCAGCGATACTCGTTTGAAGACACGACGTGGACCACCATTCAACCCCCGCAATCGGTCATGGGGAACCGTACTCACCACAAGGCCGTCTACCTGTCGAATTCTTCCTCCATTCTGGTCTATGGTGGCCACCAGACCGACGAAACGGTTGCATCCTCTGACACATACGTTTTAAGCACCGTATCGCCATACTCCATTGCGGCCCACAATGCGACAAAAGCGTCACCGGCCGTCAACCCTGTTCTGTTGCCATGGAATGATCGCGAGGCAGCGTTGGTCGGCGGTACCACAACCCCGAAGAAAGTGCACCTATTCAACCCGAATGCGGGCTGGTATGGATCCAACGTGACTCTGTCCCAATCGCTGTCCAGTGGCGTGCAGTGCGCGATTCTCGAAGGATCCGACGGAAGCAAGGTGTTGGAGGAATTCGACATGGACGTGGCGCCCAACACGGTCTCGAGCGTGGTGTTGGTGAATCCGTCCGGGAAGGAGCAGAACCCTGCTACCGCCATCAGCTCATCCTCGTCACGCAAACGGAAGAGAGAGATTACCCTCAGCAGTTACCCGACATATGATAGTAGCCTAGCACAGTCCACAATACGGCAGAACTACTCCCTAGCTCAAGGGGAGGATGGCCTAGTAGTGATCTCTAGTGGCAGTGGTACGGACTCCTTGGCCATCTTCAACCAAACCTCCAACAGCTGGGTGAACGCGACGAAACTGTTCTATGGTGATGAGAGCCGGCAGCAGATTCTTGGGTCAACCACAACGGCGGCATCTACATCCACAGCAACGTCGACCTCCAGCGCATCCTCCAGCGCCGGCGCCGGCTCGTCCAGCAACGATGTCGGGACCATAGTCGGCGCCACCCTGGGAGCGATCCTGGGTGTCGCGGCCATCCTGGTGATCATTCTCCTCCTGATCAAGCGCAAGAAGCAGAACTTGAAGAAAGCTCGGGGCGAAAGCGACAAAGATCGCCTCAGCTTTCAGGACCAGGGTGTGGAGCCATTGGCCCAGTCAGCGTACCCCATGGCCAAGAGCCCAGTACCGCTTGCCGCTTCCTCGGTAGACTCGCTTGCAATCTTCTCGGGCAAGGTGGGTGATGAGAAGACCCCAAGGCCGGCTGGTGCCCGCCCTACCTTTGCACAGAATTCGACTCCGCTGAAGTCGAGTCCTCTGACGACCATTCATTCCACTGGAGAAGCCTCGTCACCCAGTGTGTACTCGAGTGCTGCCTTTGACAAAGAGATTGAGGCCCAGAGCTCTACCTCGGGGGGTCGACCAGGTGACCGGAGAACCAACGAAGGGTGGAGTCGCTACTTCCAGGACAACAGTGCAACAAGCTTGGTTGGAATGCAATCACAATCTCTCCAGCCCCCACCATCAAGCGCATCGTCTGCCAAGCCGCAGCCGAAAAGCGCTGCATGGCAAATGAAGACACTCACACCCCTGGATTTTGGATTCTTGGAGGAGCCAAAACCTCTAGGACAGGTAATAAGTGGTAGCCCCACAACAGAGCATGCCTCGTCTATTATCTCGTCTGAGGGTCGTCCTGTGGCAATCCAAGAGAGTCAGTCAGCTCGTATTTCTAGCGCCTCGTCGATGAGCGCCGAGCTGGATGGTGACGGGCCCTGGCAACAGCGCAGCTGGGCAGACCGGCCTCCCAGCAGTACCTACAGCAGAAGCTTCTACAACCCCAGCACTCATGTGCCTTCAATGGCAGTGCCATCCGAAAGTGACTACCGAACACTC